TAGTGGTACAAGTAATTCGGATAGTCTTTCAGCAGTTCGTATTGGATCTATTCGAATTGAACTTCTTGGTATGTATGTATGTATGTAGATTATAGATCTCATTACTTCTTTCTTTTTTATTTTATTTTACCGAATAGTTTTCAGTTGTAATTTTAGTTGCTTCTTCCTTGAATAATTTCATTGTTTGATATTGATATTGTTATAATGCTGCTACGTATAGCTATTCAGTCCTAGCAGTCAGTCAGTCAGTTGCAACGTAGAACTTCGTACGTATGTGTACATAAGTTCATGTTGCCATACCACATTAGCACAGACAAGCAAATGTCAAATCAAATCCTATACTGATAGAGATATTAGAGGTATTAATGATAATGGAGAAGACTAGGGTTCGAAGATATTATTCAAGAAGTAGAATTCAGTGAGATAAGGTTAGAAAGACTAAGGTAGAGGAGGTGCTGACGAATCCAGAAGATTAGGATTTGAGAGAGCACAACGAATGGATGCACTTGTGCCATTGCAAACGATTTTGAACCATGTCACTCAAGGTCCCTAACCATTGTTGACTTTCGTCTCGCGGACCCCAACCAGGTAGTCTACATCTACCAACATGACTCAGTCCACTTGTCAGTGACTTCATGGATTTGTGCCATGTTTTTGGTTTGGCCGCCCCTAGCTTTCTTCCAACCTACTCCTACACCACAAAACATAGCTCGTCGAGGCAGTCGGTGGTTAGGCATACGTAACACATGTCCCAACCACCTCAACTGATGAAGTTTCAATGCTTCATATATTGATTTGCCATCCTTACCTAGAACTCGTTTCCTAACGACAGCATTGCTTACTCGGTTGTCCTAGTGGCGTCCAAATTCAAATATTCCAATACGACCCAAAATACTATTTACAAATCTCCTATATATCAGAATGCAACACAGTGGGATGGAGTTGTTTATTGGGTCGAGAACAGAGAAACGGAATGGGAATCGGAATCCTGAAGTCTTACAGATAGTGCGTATTTTTATACATTAAGGTCGAATAGGAAAGAGCATCAAAGTCTGTGACATTGACAGTTTATGACGACGACCAATAGGAAAGAACACTTGAAATGACATTGACAGTCCGGATGACCAATAAGAGACAACATTGAAGTATTTGACTTTGACAGTGAAAACGACCATAATTTTGACCAATAGAAATCGACCAATGGGATCGCACTTCTAAAAATAGTAGTACTCTTAGGATATTTGGTGAATATCCTAACAGATATAGATACTATATGAAAATATTTCATAAATTTATTCCTTATAATATTAGTTTACCCGATAATTTGAAGCATTTGTCCACCTTTTTTTTTGTTGTTCTAAAAGGTGAAACTGCTACACCTGAATCTATAGCTTATTTAGATAATGGCGTTGTATTTATCGGTTCAACGCTGGGTGATTCACAATTGATACGGTTAAATCCTGATCCAGATCCTGAACGTAATAGTTATATTACTATATTAGAAACATATACAAATATTGGACCAATAGTTGATATGGTTTTATTAGAGACAAAAGGTCAAAATCAATTGATCACTTGTTCTGGAGCTTATAAAGAAGGAAGTTTACGAGTGATACGCAATGGAATTGGAATTCATGAACATGCTACAATTGATCAAGATTTAATTAAAGGTGAGCGAGTTGTTGTTGTTGCTTTTTTTATTTTGTTGAAATGTAATTTTGTGAAATATGAAAAAGTCAGTCAGTCAGTTGCAACGTAGAACTTCGTACGTATGTACTACATAAGTTCATGTTGCCATACCACCACATCAGCACACAGAGACGCAAATGTCAAATCGAATCCTATAGTGATGAAGATAGTAGAGGTATTACTGGTAATGAAGAAGACTAGAGGGTTTAAATATATTATTCAAGAAGTATAATTCAGTGAGGTATGGTTAGAAAGACGAAGGAAGAGGTGCTGATGAATCCAGAAGACTAGGATTTGAGAGAGCACAACGAGTGGATGCACTTGCGCCATTGAAAACGATTTTGAGCCATATCGTTCGAGGTTTCTAACCATTGTTGACTTTCGTCTCGCGGACCCCAACCAGGTAGTCTACATCTACCAACATAACTCAGTCACTCCACTTGTCAGTGACTTCATTGATTTCTGCCATGTTTTGGTTTGGCCGCCCCTAGCTTTTTTCCAACCTACTCCTACACCACGAAACATAGCTCGTCGAGGCAGTCGGTGGTTAGGCATACGTACTACATGTCCCAACCACCTCAACTGATGAAGTTTCAATGCTTCATCTATTGATTTGCCTAACGACAGCATTGCTTACTCGGTTGTCCCACGGTATACGAGCAATGTTTCTTAAACATCTATGATCGAATACCAGTAACCTACGAACATCTACTCTTAACGGCCATGTTTCTTTGGTCAGCGAACGGATATCACGCCTACGCCATAAGTGACGCAGGTTGGCAAAAGCCAATCAAGCTTTCTGTATCCGTGCTGAGATTTCGTCAGTCACTAGGCTATCAGCGCTGATGAGACTTCCGAGATAAGTGAAGCGGTCAGTCAGTTAGTCAGCTATAACGTAGAACTTTGTACGTACGTACGTACTTATGTACATCAGTTCAAGTTGCCAGATTATATTAGCATACAAGAGATTGAATGGTCAGTTCAAATTCTATAGTGGTAAATGTAGTAGAAGTAATAAAGAAGATTAGGATTCGAAAATATTATTCACGAAGTAATAATGCAGTGAAGTAAATTTGAGAAGAGAAAGATAAGGGTCACGAGAATTTTGGAAGATTATGTATAATTTAAAAGGTAAAGGACGGGTACATTTGCACCATTGCGAACGATATTTGAAAAATAGTTGGAATTTCCTCAATGATAACGAGTGATATTTCATGTTTGTTACTGTTATTGTGAGCCTTAGAAATGAACTTACTTGAAAATGTGCATGTTCCAACTTGTTAATGCTTAAAATTTCACTGTTTAGTTTATGTTTCTCAGTCAATGGTTCGATAATGTTCAGAATTATCAAGTTACCCGCCCAACAGTATGTATATATGTAACATCTTCCAAGTTTCCTGCTAGTGCTTCTACTATGGGATGTAGGGATAGGCTGAAAGAAAACTAGGGGCGGCAAGATCAAAACATGGCACAAATCTATAAAGTCGTTGACAAGTGGTCTGAGTCATGTTGGTAGGTATGGACTACCCGGTTGGGGTCCGCGAAACAATTGTAACCGATGATTAGAGACCTTGAACGATATGGCTCAAAATCGTTTGCAATGGCGCAGGTGCATCCACTCTTTTTGTCCTTTCAAATTCTAATCTAAATTCCTCATTAGTGTTTTTTGTCTTTTTAAATTTATCTCACTCGATTATACTTCTCGAACAACATTTTCGACCCCTAATCTTTTTGGTTGAGCTAATACTTTTACTACGTCTACTTCTATGGAATTTGAATCGACAATTTGATCTCTGTGTGTTAATGTAGTATGACAACTCGGACTGATGTACGTACGTACGTAGTTCTACGTTCTAACTGACTACGACAGACAGACAGGTAAATATAATATAGAACGTCGTACGTACATACATCAGTTCAGGTTGCCATACCGCATTAGCACAGAGACGCAAATGTCAGTTCAAATCCAATAGTGGTAGCGATAGTAAAAGTATTAGCAGTAATGGAGAAGATTGGGGTATAATTCAGTGAGATAAAGTTAGGAAACATAAGAAAGAGTTGATGAGGAATTCTGACAATAACCCTTACTAGTTTCAGCTTGGTGTGCTGATTTAGTGTGATAACTAGATTTCATACCTATTTATGCTTGGTTTTTTCTCAAAGCTATTCATGACTAGCTGACTGACTGCATCACTGTGCTTTTTTTGTAGTTGGTGACATTAGATAGTAATTGTGCCGGTAGTAATAGGCCTGTTCTTTCGATTATCTTATTTCCATCGTTGACGACTCTTCGATATTGTTTCATGGTGCCACAAGCAGAACTGTTTGTTTCTCTTATATGTTACAAGTTTTTATTGCATGTAATTTTTGTTGTTATAAAGCTTTCTGATTGTGCAATGTAGTTAAAATAATGCTGGTTTCTTCTAAATTTTCAATACATATATATTATATCCTAAAGGGACAACCGTATAAGCAATGCTGTCGTTAGGAAACGAGTTCTAGGTAAGGATGACAAATGAATAGATAAAATAGTGAAACTTCATCAGTTGAGGTGTTTGGGACATGTGTTACGTATGGCTAACCATCGACTACCGCGACGAGCTATGTTTTGTAGTGTAGGAGTAGGTTGGAAGAAAGCTAGGGACGGCCAAACCAAAACATGGCACAAATCCATGAAGTCACTGACAAGTGGACTGAGTCATGTCGGTAGATGTAGACTACCTGGTTGGGGTCCGCGAGACGAGTCATCAATGGTTAGAGACCTTGAACGATATGGCTCAGAATGGTTTGAAATGGTGCAGGTGCAACCACAATTTGTGTTCTCTCTAATTCTAACCTTCTGAATTCCTCATCATCTCTATCTTTCTCCTTCTAAATTTATCTCACTGAATTATACTTCTCGAATCATTTCTTTGCTCCCTAATCTTCTCCATTACTGCTAATACTTCTATTATTACTATCACTCTTGTACTTGAACTGACAGTTGCATCTCTGTGCTAATGCGGTATGGCAACCTGAACTGATGTACTTACGTCCGAAGTTCTGCGTTGTATCTGTCTGTCTGTTTGTCTGTCTATCTGTCTGTCTGTTTGTCTATCCTAAAGACACTGGTTGTCCATAATTGACTAGATTTTAAATACATTTTATAAAATTTCCAGTTTACTTAACTAAGTTACAATATGTTTCAGTGTATCATAGTTAGGTAGTTAAATTTATTTATTCAAAATATATATTTATGAATTTCTCGTTAGAAAACAAAAAAACACGATTAAATTAGAATCATTTTGTTCTTTCTTTTTATTTTCAATTAGGCGCTTGGTGCTTTCCAATTGAATCTGATCGTTACGATGATACAATTGTCGTATCGATGGTTGGTCAAACTCAGTGAGTGAATTGTATTTTAATGTTTTTATAAAGTCAATTATTATATACAATCTACTTGAGTCAGTCGAAACTTCATACGCACTTAGATCAGTTCAAGTTGCCATACTGCACGACATTAGCACACAGAGGTCGAATTGTCAATTCAAATCTCATAGTACTAGAGGTAGTAAAAGTATGAGCAGTAATCGGTAAGATTAAGGTTTAAAGATATCATTCAAGAATTATAATCCGGTGAAATAAATTTCAGAAGAGAAAGATAGAGGTGATGAAGAATCTAGAGACTTAGGATTTGAGAAAATACAAAGAAATGCGTGCACCTACTCCATTGCAAACGATTTTAAGCCATGTCATTCAAGGTCTCTAACCATCGATTATTATCGTCTCGCGGACCCCAACCAGGTAGTCTACACTTGGAAACATGGCTTAGTCCATTTGTCAGTGACTTCATGGATTTGTGTCATGTTTTGGTTCGGCCGCACCTAGCTTTCCCCTAGCCAACTTCGACACTGGACAATATCGTTCTTCGAGGCAGTTGGTGGTTGGGTATCCGTGACACATGTCCCAACCACCTCAACTGATGAGGATTGAAGTGGTGGTTAGCTAGCTACCTGGAACTTTATTTTTTTATTCTCTCTAAATGTGTATGATATCATATTGTTTACATTGAAACTGAACATAGCTCCATAGGGAGATATCTGTAACCGAACACAGAGTCATTAAGTTTATTCTGTTGCAAATAGCTACGAGTATAAAGGATTACACCATTCTCTGCTTAATCATTTAACACTTGTCCGAAATTCTTTGTCTAACCACAAACTTACACAACTTCGTCATCATGAATTTTGAATACAATATCTGAAGTTTGTGCTGATGATAATTATTCATTAGACATTTTCTTTCATTTTCTTATCAATTCTCATTGTTCCGTCTCCGGCGGTAGGGGCACTAGAAGGGCGGAGCTAACACTTGAAAACTTCCGATAAAAAGGCCATGTGCGACAGGCCTCAAGCTGTTTTCTTTCGGGCTGTGCGGTCGCTTTCGCTTATCTCTAAGACCAACACTAATCCAATTTCCTTTTCGGGTTCCACCGTTTCGCGGTGTGGGCAGCCAGGAAGCTACATCCGCCCTCATGCCCGTAACAGCACACGAAACCAAACCGATCAGAACCAAATCCTTCGTACACCCCCTAACATCTTTCTCATTTCCACGACTAACCCTTCTCACATTCTTTGATCACTCCGCACCGCTAATGCAAACGATTTGAATTCACGAAACAATATTCCTGGCCTCCTGAAACTCCATTTTGAACTACGTGTTGGAGCTTTTAATGTCCGGACATTGTGTCAAATGGGACAACAGGCTTGATTAGCTAGGACTTTAGAATCTCGCCCCATCGATGTATGCTGCGTCTCGGTAACGCACATACAGGATCCGCCTAGCATCATTCATTTGACCTCACCATGTCAAAATTTAGAAGGAGCTTGATTTACTCGTCATGTATCTGGAAGCTATGCTGCTGCTTGCCGTGTCCTCTCTGATGTAGGTATTGCATTGAGTTTGTTACGCTCGTCACTAGGTATGCTTGAAGCTATTACGAGTTCACCTTAGTCGATAAACGCGAACGAGACAATTACCAGCGTCCAGATAGGCTACCTTGAATCCCAAGCTGTAAACAGAAGGCTTGGTAAGCGTAGAAAGTATATTCTACAAACACTCAGCAATCACAATACAATCAAGCACACAATTCTCGTTTATTTATACATCATAGAAACGTCCTTGGGACAGTTAAGAAAATAGCGCACTAAAATACACAGCAGCCAATCACAACCATGTATTCTCCTGTTGGGAAATGAAATCTCAAGGTCAGCTGATCAGCCCATGCTCAACAAACGTAAAATCCAAAATAAGGCATTTCTCAAGCAAGTTCTGGGGATCTAACATCCCCAACAGAGTCTTAGGACAAAGCTAGCTCTCCTAAACTGGATCCCAGTAGATAGTCGTTTGTAAATTCAATTCACATCCATATGAACAGTAAATAGCATAATTGACCAGTCAGTCAGTCAGTTGCAACGTAGAACTTCGTACGTATGTACATAAGTTCATGTTGCCATACCACATTAGCACATAGACGCAAATGTCAAATCAAATCTCATAGTGATGAAGATAGTAGAGGTATTAATGGTAATGAAGAAGACTAGGGTTTGAAGATATTATTCAAGAAGTATAATTCAGTGAGATAAGGTTAGAAAGACAAAGGTAGAGGAGGTGCTGACGAATCCAGAAGATTAGGATTTGACAGAGCTCAAAGAATGGATGCACTTGCGCTATTGAAAACGATTTTGAGCCATGTCGTTTAAGGTTTCTAATCTTTGGTGACTTTCGTCTCGTGGACCCCAACCAGGTAGTCTACATCTACCAACATGGATCAGTCCACTTGTCAGTGACTTAATGGATTTCTGCCATGTTTTGGTTTGGTCGCCCCTAAATTTCTTCCAACCTACTCCTACACCACAAAACATAGCTCGTCGAGTCAGTCGGTGGTTAGCCATACGTAACACATGTCCCAACCACCTCAACTGATGAAGTTTCACCACTTCACCACTGCATAATTGACCAAATAATTATTCATGAGACATTTTTAAAATTTTTTTGTTCAAAAATCAATTTTCATTGTTCAATTTTTTGTTTATCTACCTCTTTCCATGATATTTTGTTTGTTCCATTGCATTAGACTACTCCGCCTTGCCGATGATGATATTACAGCTCTACATTTGGAAGGTTTTAAAACCGATGAACAAACTGTGTATTGTGCTACTCTAACTCCGAGCAATGATTCACCTACACCAGAAGAACATTCAATGATGATGATGATGGTTGATGATGAAACGAATCATCTCAATAATCATAATCATAATAATCATAGTCATTGTAGTAATTCAACGCCACCAATGGATTCCTTATTATTACAAGCAACAACTAGTGGTCTACGTTTAATCGGTATACAATCCTTGTATGGTAAAGGTTGTTTAACAGAATGGAAATCACCAACTGGACGTGGGATATCATGTTTAAGTTCATTTCGTCATACTATTGTTGTAGCTAGTGGAACTGAATTATATGTATTAAAAGTAGTTGGTACAGTGAATCAACCGAAATTTGAACAAGTTTCGTAAGTTTTCTGTTTGTTTATTTTGGTGGGCATTTTGATTGATTGTTTGTTCAAATAAGGAAACGTGTAACAATTAGTTTGTGTACGATAAAGAAAATTAGCTAGACAGTTAATGAATTCATTTGTTATGAGCTACAGTCATCCACTCAGCTACAACGTATAACATCGTACGTAAGTATTTAAGTTCAAGTTGCGATACCAGGGTAGCACAGTGACGCAATCGTCAATTCGAACCCCATAGTGATAGAGGTAGTAGAAGTATTAAGAGTAATCGGAAAGATTATTATTCAAGAAGTTGAATCTAGTGAGATAAACTTAAAAAGATAAAGGTGATGAGAAATTCAGAAGGTTAGGATTTGAGAGAATGAAAAGAATAGGTTCACGTGAGTCATTAATTTGCCTTCCTTACCTAGTTCACGTTTCCTAACAATAGGCATTATTTACTCGATTGTCCCAGGGTATACGAGTAATGCTTCGAAGACAGCTATGATCGAAAACCAGTAACCTACGAATATTCCTTACTCTCACTGGTCATGTTTCACAGGCATAAAGTAGGAGGGAGCGAACTGCTGCGCAGAAAATCTGTCCGTCATTTGGTAGACAGATGTCTCATCTGCGTCATAGGTGACGCAAATAGACCAAAGCCAATCGGACCTTCTGTATCAGTGCTAAGATTTCGTCAGACACCAGGCTATCAGTACTGGTGAGAGTCGTAAGATAGATGGAGCGGTCTACACGCTCGACTACTTCACTTCCTATCACTAGTTCAAGTGCCGATGCAAGCCAATGCTGAAGCAACATTTTACATTTCGAGGAGGAAAACCGCATCCCGAAAATGCTTACATTGTTGCCGAGTTGCTGTCTTCTCACACTAGGAGGAAAGAGTACGAAAAAATCTGTCCAACCTTATCCCACAGATTACGTCTCCAGCGGTAAGTTCAAAGTTACAGTATCAAACACTTATCACAAAATAACCATATGGAACCGGCATGAAAAACAGTCGTATTTTTGGTTCTATGGTTACGTTAGTGATATATTTCGAGAAATATTCAACTGAAAAAAGTTTAAAAAGGTTTTTCATGTAATATTGTTTGAGTACTGTAACTTCACCCACTTCTAATCAATGCTATCCTCCTCATTGTGTATCCTTTCGAAATTTCTTTTTATTTGTTTGTTTGTCATCTATACAACAGACATAGACAAATGGCTCATGAAGTAGCTTGTGTTGATCTAACTCCTTTTCATCTTGGTCGTGCAATTGCAGCCATACATGCGAATTCATCAAATCATTTAGTAGATTCAACAGTAGTAGTATCTTCTTCCAGTCATGATGACTCTGTGCTACCACATTTAGTTGCAGTTGGTTTATGGTTAGGACATGGTCTTGCTTTATTGAAAATTCCTAATTTAGAACTTGTTCATGAAGAACCATTACCTGAGACAACAGCATCTACTGGTACAGCTTTATTGCCTCGCTCGGTGCTGATTGCTCAATTAGAAGAGATTGCTTATTTGTTTGCTGCAATGGGTGATGGTACATTGTATTTTTATACTATTGATCCTACTGAAAGTAAGCGCTGATTTATTCTTCTTTATGTTCATTTGTATTCACTAACATGTCTTGACGCGGTATTCTATATCTCAACTTTGTGAAAATGAAGTTGTAATTTGGAGGGGAATCATCTTTCCACAGTCTAGTAAAATTTGTTAATATATGCCTAATAACTATCATATACCTGTTAATTAATTTCACATAATTATTGCGCGAGAATTCAAATTCTAACAGTCGAACTAAATACTAGTGTGCTTATGAGTTTCTAGTTGTCCAAAGTTCAATTCCTCAAGTTTATCATTATAAGATTGTGGAGTTACTTTTTGAAATCATGAATCGATCAATGTTAGACCAACCTATTAGAAGAAACTAGATGACCGTGTCATCCAAGTCTGCAACTCATCGGTAGTGCACATCTACAATTCTATAGGCGGAAACGAAACCCAAGACCCCCCAGTCTCGTGCACGAACACTTAACCTTCTCGACTGTGATAATGATCATAAAGTTACTTGTAACATAACTTTTTTTAATCCTTTTCCTCTTAACATAACTGAATTTAGGGTATTTTTAAATTTGACTAAAAAAGATTTACAGTTTATCAAACGAAAAAAAATAGTATGGTTTTTGGTTTTGAGCGTGTAGAGGTGGTATATTGCTAGGTTTTACAGTGGCATCGTTTTTAGATGAGATAATACATTATTTATCAAGATATTTCACTTCACTTTTGAAATGATGTTGAAGATTTAAGCTTAACAAAAGTGAAGTCTAAATTGATTGGCAAAATAAGTAGTGACCTTCAGTCATTTGGAAAAGAAATCTATCCATCTGATTGGCTCCTTAATCCTGTAGGTAGTCGACACCTACCGACATGAATCAGTCCAGTTGTCAGTTACTTCATGTATTTGTGTCATGTTTTGGTTTGGCCGCCCCTAGCTTTTTTCCAACATATTCCTACATCGCGAAACATAGCTCACCGGGGCAGTCAGTGGTTAAGCATACGCAACACATGCCCCAACCACCTCAACTGATCAAGTTTCAATACTTCGTCTATTGATTGGTTAATAAGTAGAGTGACCTTCAGTCATTTGGAAAAGAAATTTGTCCATCTGATTGGCTCTTTAATCCTGTGGTTTAGATCAATAATTTTTGCTCTCGACCACAGTTCACAGCGTTGCATTATCACTGGTCGAGATGCCATTCATTTACTAAAAAAAACCCATGAAACCTCAAGCCATAACAACTTCACAGCTTTCCTAATCAAGCTTTATCCTCTCTTTGTACTTACTATATGACCATTTTTACCACTTCTGCATAAATTAATTTCGGTCAATTCTTTGTAGATCGTGTTTGTTTACGTGATCCTAAACGTGTTAGTGCAGGTACTGGACCTTCAATGTTTCTTAGACAATGGCGTTCACAGCGTAAAGTCAATGTATTTGTTTGTTCCAATCATCCTTGTGTAATATATTCAATAAAAAATAAATTAATATTTGCAAATTTAAATTTGAAAGAAGTGAATTTTATGACTCCTTTGAATGGATTATTTTATAATGATTGGTAAGAATTTATTTAATTGAATTGTTATTTTCTTTCTGGTTCATGTGCTTTTTTTTTGTTTGTAGCGAGTTCGTTTCCTATGAGATGGGATCGTCAACTCCATTCCCCCTAATCTTCCTCGTTTATACGGGGCTTGGTACTACCGGTGGTAGCCCGGAGGGGGCCCAGGCAGTGATAAAAAAGTAGAACCTAGTACTGAGGTTGTTCCTAGTTAGTGTCTTTTTAACGAGCTAGTTTTCTACGAGGTGGGGTTGCAAACCCCATGCCCCCACCCTCTTCCTTTATCCGGGCTTAGGACCAGGAGTAGCCCTGGAGGGGCACCCAGGCGGAGTTTAGTGTACTCAGGTGGTAAAGAAAATTTATAGCTTAGGTGAATATTTATGGTGAAGTTTCGTTCTCTTTAGCTGGATCGCTTGGTTCAGATAATGACAGGTCGACTGTAACCAATCAAGTTGAACGAGACAAGCTTGGAGTTATCTGTTTCCGACATTCGAATACTTCATCTATTGATTTTCCAATGTTATCTAGTATCCTTTTCCTGACACTATCATTGCTCAGTCGATGGTACCAGAATATACGAGCAATGCTTCGAAGACGCTGATTAACGAAAACCAGTGACCTGCGAATATCCTCAATTCGAAGTGGTCATGTTTCACACCTGTGAAGTATGATGGAGAAAACGGCTGTGCAGTAGATTCGTGCTTTGCTTAGCAGACAAGATATCTTGCCTACGCCATAAATGACGCAAATCGACAAAAGCCAGTAGGGCCTTCTGTACCGGTGCTGAGATTTCGTCAGACACCAGGCCATCAGCACTAAATAGACTTCCAAGATAACTGAAGCGGTCGACACGCTCAAATGCTTCACTTCCTATAACTAGCTCAGGTGCCGATGCAAGCCAATGCTAAAGCAACATTTTGCATTTGGAAGACGAGAAACTCATCCCGAAAATGCTTGCTTGCATTATTGCTTAAGGTGATCATCACAAGACTCAGTTCTATGTACTGTTTGGTCATTTGTATTACATTAAAGGTCTTATTTGTCTTTTTTTTACGTTATGGCATCAGTCATACTGATTGTTACTTTTTTTTTCATTTTAATGTACTTTCTCTGACCGGTTTTTAGCATTGCCCTAGTTACTCCAACAGCACTCATCATTGGATCAGTAGATGAAATTCAAAAACTCCACGTAAGAACTTTACCTTTAGAAGAAACACCAAAACGTCTTGCATTACAATCGGAAACTGGTAGTTTAGGTGTGATAACATATCGTCAAGAAATGTTTCAAGAAGGTATGGGATTTAAACCTGTTCGTCCATCAATATCTCTATCACAGAAAATTCCTAAGTCAGCTAGTCGACTTCCAAAAACTGCACCATGTATGTTTCTTTGTTATTGTTGTAGTAGTAGTGTGTAACACTTTTCAAATGTTATTATAACAATATTACAGTAACTCAAGGTCGGTTTGTGTTAGAAAATGACATGCAATAATCTATATACATAATTAACTTGTAGTTTTATCTGTAAAGCAACTCACTAGTGATCAGTGAGTTGTTTTATGATTGGACTGTTTGTCTCTGAAAGCAATTGTTTGTAAATAAAACCTAAATCCTTAGAAGAAAGTGTTATGCATTGCTCGTAAACACGTCATTTTGATATACTTGAACTATCACGAGTTTACCGTAGTCGGAAAACGAGAGCGAGGATCGATGATCCGGTGACACGACATGCTACACTAATCCAATTGTCTCAAACCCCCATTGAGTAAAAGGAGAGGACTTGATATGAAGTAGAACATGTATACTACAAGCATCCAGAAAGTACGAGGTCCGAGTCCAGAAGAGAATCAGGATCCCGGACTAGGGATCCAGGTCCTCGTCCGGGTCATAAAATGTTACAGATAAGGCGTATTTATACAGTTAAGTCGAATAGGGAACAACATTGAAGTCTGTGACATCGACAGTTAGGACGACCAATGGAAACCAAATTTGAAGTACGTGACATTGATAGCTAGGATGACCATAATATTGACCAGTAGGCATTGGCCAATAGAATTAGACTTGCAAAAATAATTCTTTTAGGATATTTGATGAATATCCTAACGAAAAGGATTACGTTCTATGTTGTTTTACGCTCTCCGACTTATGCACTTCGCCCAACTTGACGCTAAATAACAACCTGAATGGGTTGAGAAAATGTGAAAAGCAAAGTATCCAGAAACAAAGATATAAGTTTATATGAAAATAGTAGGAGAAATTTTAAGCATCGATTGTTTGCAAAAAATACAACACATTTTATGTTATTCACTCTAAAGTTATGGAGATTGTTGCTTCTCATTGAAATCATGAATCGATTATTACTATTATGCTTACTAGTGACTAGCTTCGTGAGGAAATCCTCGGAGTTCTAGTGAGAAGTCGTGACTAGTAGAGTTCAACCCTGCCGTATGTATGCAATAACTACCTAAGACAATAGGTGAGGTTGTGCAAAACCTTAGATTGATCAAAGTTAGACATTAACACTGTTGGATACTGGCGTAGTGGTTGAGAGAGGTTAAGCGTTCGAGCACGACACTGAAGGTCCTGGGTTCGATTACCACAAGTCAATCACCATTCAGTCAACAGCTACGTAGAAATTCTTACGTACGTACGTACATCAGTTCATGTTTACCATACTACATCAGCAAAGAGGTTTAATTATCAATTCAAATCCCATAGTAGTAGAGGTAGTAAAGTTATTGGCAGTAATCAGAGAGATTAGGGTTTGACGATATTGTTCATGAAGTAGCATCTAGTAGAATAAACTTAAAAATAAAAAGATAAAGTAATGAGGAATTAAGAAGCTTAGGATTTGAGAGAACACAAAGAATGAATGCACTTGCGCCATCGCGAACGATTTTGAGTCATGTCATTCAAGGTTTCTAACTATCGATTATTATCATCTCGCGGACCCCAACCAGGTAGTTGACACCTACCGACATGACTCTGTACACATGTCAGTGACTTCATGGATTTCTGCAATATCTTGGTTTGACCTCCCCTACCTTTCTTCCAATCTATTCCTACATTGCAAAACGTAGCTCACCGGGGCAGTCGGTGGTTAGGCATACGTAACACATGTCCCAACCACCTCAACTGATGAAGTTTCAATACTTCGTCTATTGACCTGCCATCCTTACCTAGTACTCGTTCCCTAACGACAGCATTGCTCACTTGGTGGTCTCATGATACATGAGCAATGCTACTGAAGACACCTATGATCAAATACCAGCAACCTAGGAATATCTTCTACTCTGACTGGCCATTTTTCATAGCCATAAAATAGAACGTAGCGAACCACTGCGCAGTACACTAATGGGGCGTCTCACATTGATCGATTAATGATTTTAAATCAAAAACAGCAATCTTCATGACTCTGTCATGAAAAAATCATTCATCGAGCTTGCCCCTGGTTCAGAGTTCGTTCTCCTAACATCGAATTCTTACCTTTCAACGTTTCACCACACATGTTCACCTAATTTACTAATCTTCAACAAACCTATCTATGTATCAAGAAGCTGATCCAGCACATCGGCCATCCTAATACCTTTCTAGTTTTATATTCAATCCCAATATGATTCAAATATTTGAGAGTAGAACAAATTACTTGTCTTCAGTTCTACATATAGAGTTCTTATAAATCCAAATTAATTTCGTTTATCTAAGCAAATTACTTGATTTCTTGTCAGAAATTGTACTTATGCTTACTATTTTTTTGAAAAAAAATTTTTATTGATTAGCTTCTGTCTCTGCTACTGAACGAAAATTTCGTGAAATTGAAGTTTCATCTCTGCTCATATTTAATCAATCGAATTTGGAAATTCAATTTGCGCATAATTTCTACTTTAGTCAAACTTTAGTTGAAGTGGCTGTCAGTATTGCATCTGTTCAATCAGACATACATAATGGATCGTTGTTTGCTGTAGGCACTGCATTTCTTGTAGAAGATGAAGTGGAACCATCGAAAGGCCGGATTCATTTGTTTCGTTGGGATCCGGAATCTTCTCGATTAGATACTATCTTGGTACATGATGTGAATGGTTCTGTTTATCGTATAGTAGATTTTAATGGTCGTCTCTTAGCTGCTATCAATAGTTCGGTAAGTGTAAATTATTTAACTTACTTACTTACACCTGTTACCCCCAATGGAGCATAGGCCGCTCACCAGTTTTCTCCAACCAACACTGTCCTGGGCTTCCGTCTCCAGTTCTGTCCAATGTTTGTTCATTCCTCTCATATCTTTCCCTATTTCTCGGCGTAATGTGTTCCTTGGCCTTCCTCTTTTCCTTTTGCCTTGAGGGTTCCATGTGAGGGCTTGTCTCGTGACGCAGTTAAGTGCTTTTCGTAGTGTGTGTCCTATCCACTTCGATTGGTTCTTCCTGATTTCCTACTCCACTGGAATCTGGTTTGTTTTCTCCCACAGTACGTTGCTGCTGATGGTATCTGGCGAACGAATCCGAAGTATTTTGCGTAGACAACTGTTAATAAACACTTTTATCTTCTGGATGATGGCTTTGGTAGTTCTCCAAGTTTCCGCTCCATACAGTAGAACTGTCTTCACATTTGTATTGAAAATGCTGATTTTAGTTTTGGTTGAAAGTTGTTTGGAGTTCCAGATATTTTTCAACTGTAGAAACGCAGCCCTTGCTTTGCCAATCCACACCCTCACATCTGCATCGGATCCACCTTGATTATGGATGATGCTGCCCAGATATGTAAAGGTGTTATTGTCCTTCCTCCAAAGAATCTCCATCAAGAGTGATTTGGTTGGTGCATGTTGTGTTGCATTGCAGAATTTTGCTTTTTTCTTCATGTATGTTGATACCTATTGCTGCAGAGGCTGCTGCTACACTGGTCGTCTTCAGGTCGTCCAGCTGCGTCCTAACTGTCCAGTTGATACCGTTAAATTATTTAACGATTGATTGTATTCTCGGTTCTGTGATTGTGCTATCTATTCGGTTAAGAAAAATGTTACATAGATGTAATAAATGTATTTTTTGCTGTTTTAAAAAAAACCCTCAGCCAGAATCAACCGAAAATAGAATGTTCTGATTACTTGAAACGTTTTCGAGTCTTCAATTTTCAAGCTTGATTCATCTACAAAATAAAATATAATGTGAAATTAGTCGTCAGTACTTACTTACGCCTGTTTCCTCTATTAAAACATCGGTTGTTGACCAGCATTCTCCAACCAACTCTACCCTGAACCTTCCTCATCACTTTTACCCAATTGTTATTCATCTTTTGCATATCTGTCTGCAATTGTCGGCGCAGTGTGTTTCTTGGTCTACCTCTTCTCCTTTAGCCTTCAGTACCCCAAGTGAGGGTTTGCCTCATAGCGCAATCCCGTGATTGACACAATGTGTGTCCTATCCACTTTCAGCGCTTTTTCCCTAATTTCTCCGTCAGCTGAAAGCTAGTTTTTTCTCTCTCACAGTGGGTTGTTACTGGTATTGTCTGGATAACACATCTGCAGTATCTTGCATAGACGGCTGTTAATCAACACTTTTATCTTTTTCATGATGACATTCGTGGTTCCGCTCCATACAGTACAACTATTTTGGCGTTCGGATTGAAAATTGTGACTTGTGTTGATTGACAGACAGTTGTTTTGAGTTGCAGATGTCTTTCAATCCTAGAAATGTTGCCCTTGCTTAGCTTATCCGTGCCTTCACATGTATATCAAATTCACCTGTACAGGTACGTAAAGGTTTTCACATCTTCCAAAACCTCTCGACTGAGTGTGATTTAATTGTTACATGTTGTGTTGTATTAGAGGATCCTAATTTTTGCCGTGTGTCTGTTAAAACCTACAGCTGCTACGCTGTCTGTCTTCTGGATTTTTTCTGCACTGATCGTTCTGGTTTGCTATATTTTTAGCATGCTTCTTCGTTGTACCGTATACTTGTCTCCTGTTCCCTTCTCTTGATGATTTTTCTGCTATGATTGCCAGATTGTCCATATATTTTCGCTTGTCATCTCTGTTACTTCTCTTCACTTTCTTTTTTGCTTCTGTTTATTTGGACTATCATTTGGCTTCCTCTAATCTTGTTCGGCTGTTATTGATTACTGTCTTCGTGTTCCTTCTTCCTTGGAACTTATTCATAATAATAATATTTGAAGGCACATAGATTTGTGGATCTCTCACCGTCAACGTTCCTTTATCCCAGTCCATGTCGTCCCATGATGTCTTCATATCCAGTGCTGCCCATTCCAACCATGGTGTTTAGGTCTCCCGTTAGAAGGCTCAAATCCTTTGTTGGTCATTTCTGGACGATTGTGCTTCTGTAGATAGCATCAGTCAAACTGCGTGTGTGTGTGAGGCATTTGCTTCATAACTGGAGTAGAAGAACATCTCTCCTGAAGCTATCCTTAGAAGGGGCATCGGTTTCGAGACTTCCGAAGAATTTCGGCTTTCATCATGAGACGTCATAACTTTTGTAAATGTAGACCTTCAAACTGCCAGGGCAGAGTTTGTTGTTGGTTTGAATAATTCGTTTTGGTTAGTACCTTTTAGGGAGTTCATTTTCTACGAGGTGGGGTTGCTAACCCCCCATGCCCAACCCTCCTCGCTTATCCGGGCTTTGGACTGTTGGTAACCTGAGAAGGGCTCCAGACAGTATACATTTTTTATTTTTGACGTACATTTTATTAATCTAAATTACTTTTCGACTTCTTGTTAATTGTCTAGCCATATGTTCATGTAGTTTTGTTACTAATTCAGTCTGTAAGCTAAAACTAATAAGCAAACTGACCTAAACTGCCATGCCAGATTACTTCAATGCGATGAAGTTAACAAAATGTATGAGTAAAACAATCGAAATAATGCAATAACAATCAATCTGTGGTGGCTCACAGAAAGTAAGATAAAGCCTCCAGTAGCTTACAAATAGGTCGAAGCGATTCCATCCAACCACAATCTGATAGAATTCTAAGAATACCGATGTGACATATGGTGATTAGACAATTGTATAACATATTCTGTTTGCAAATTAGACAATTTATAATAAGAATATTTTTCAGTCTGTTGTAACGCTTCGCTTAGATAATTTCCAGCTAAATCCTATTGCTCTGACCACAATACACTGGACAAGTTCCAAAGAATCAAAAACACGGTTGAACAGGAAAAGATTATATTCCAAATAGCAAGGTTAAATGGAAATAAGAAGCCGAAGGCGAAGGCAAAAATAGATACAACGTTAGTCTATTTTTAGCATTTACATGAGAAGCTTCTGGATAGTAATTCACCTGATCGACTGAATTATATTTAGCCAATCAGCATGCAGCTAACAGTACGAGAATTTTCTACCCTGTTTTCCAAGAATCGATCAGGCGCTGATTGGACAGGAAATTAGCCAATCAGCACGTAGCAACGTAGTCATGCTTTAATTCCATCTATGTCCCACTAACACAGTCTATGACAAAAAACAACTATAAATACCCATGGTTTTCTTGTACATTTTGACACTTCTCCGGTTTTCTTCCAGTTTGATTTACAACTTGGGGGAAGGTTCTATACGTTTTTAAAATGCATCACTTGTATACACGGTATCAAGTAGACAACTTCACAAAGTTAGATATATGGTTCAACTAATTATTCTCTCTCTTTTTCTCTCTTACATTTCCATGTTTTTATTCCCAAAAAATAACAAGGTACGATTATTTGATATAAAAGAAGATTCATTACGTTTGGCTTGTAGTTTCAATGAAAATATCATTGTACTATTTCTTCGTCGTAAAGGTGATTTTGTTCTAGTCGGTGATTTAATGCGTTCATTGACATTGTTATTATTTAAATCAAATGTTAATAATTTTGAAGCTGTAAGTTTTCATTGTTAAATAATTCATTGAAAGAAAAAAATAATTTGTTTAAAGATATTTACTATCCGATTGATTGTCTACTAAATCGAAGCAAGTGTTATTCTCAGTAGCCGGCGGGGGGGTGGGGGGGGTACTCTTCTAGCCGCCTTTGATTTATGGATCTTATTCCACACAGTAATGTGGCAACATTAGGAGATGTGGTTTTGGTAGTAGCCAACAATTAGTTCACACATTGCTTTTATTCATTCAGAATCTTGGAGCCCATATGTTCTGTTGTAGTAAAGCCAAGGTTTTCCAACTCTCCTAGATGAATCACTGTCCATATACCCATCAACCCGGTTCAAGTGTTGGATATTTGCTTATCGTTCTCTCACTTTCATAAACAATACTTTTGCCACGAGCAGACAGTGAGTAAGACTTCTCTGATAGTGGCTACATATATATGTACATGGTGATATGAGAGCATTTCTAGAAGCATTGCTCGTATATCGTGCGACAACCGAGTAAGCAATGTTGTCGTTACGAAACGAGTACTAGGTAGGGATGGCAGATCAATAGATGAAGTGGTGGAACTTCATCAGTTGAGGTGGTTGTGACATGTGCTGCGTATGCCTAACCACAGACTGCCTCGATGAACTATGTTTTTTGGTGTAGGAGTAGGTTGGAATAAAGTTAGGGGCGGCCAGACCAAAACATGGCAGAAATCCATGAAGTCATTGACGAGTGGACTGATTCATGTTGGTAGATGTAGGCTACCTGGTTGGGGTCCGCAAGACGAAAGTCACCACTGGTTAGAGACCTTGAACGACATGGCTCAAAATCGTTTGCAATCGCGCAAGTGCATCCATTCTTTGAGCTCTCTCAAATCCTAATCTTCTGGATTCGTCATCACATCTACCCTTGTCTTTCAAACCTTATCTCACTGAATTATACTTCTTGAATAATATTTTCAAACCCTAGTCTTCTTCGTTACCATTAATACCTCTTCTATCTTTATCACTATGGTATTTGATTTGACATTTGCGTCTGTGTGCTAATGTGGTATGGCAACATGAACTTATGTAGTACATACGTACGAAGTTCTGCGTTGCAACTGACTGACTGATGAGGGCATTTCGTCGCACCAAGGCATTTGTAGGAAATTCGTATAGATGGGCACAAATATCTGTATATAGATATATACTTTTATGCTCGTGTAGTTCATTCTTGAATAGACGTTAACTAGTATATAAAATTTTCCGTAGATCTTAATGTTTCCTTCCATACTGCAAGTTTTTTTCTGTTGATATCTCGCCAATTCTATATAGTTCTGTCTTTTTTTATATTTTCCCCGATTAGCTTTTGTGTCAATATATATCTGTTTGATACTGTTTATATAATTTACATTCTCATTAATTTCATACTTTTATATATTCCTATAAATCAATACAGACTCGTAGTGCTATAGCTCCCCCGGACAACTAGCGTCTGCAGCAGTACTGTCTTCTCACAAAGACGGAAGGGGTTCGGAAAGGTCGACCCTGAAAATATCACACCTCATCTTACCTTGCGCGTTTCCGTCTCCGGCGGTAAGGCTATTTGAAGAGCGGAGCTAACACTATACAAGCTTATGATAAAAAGGCCCTGTGTAACCGGCCTCGAGTAGTTGTTCCTTGGGCTCGGCGGTCACGCTCCCAGGTCTCTAAGATCAACACTACTCCAACTTCATTTTCAGGTTCCTCAAGAAACACCCTTCCATGGTGTGGGCAGCTGGAAAGTGACATCCGCCCTTATACCCGCAACAACACAAGATCACATTGATCACAACCAAATCTTAGCGGAGAACTATCTCTCCTAGACTGGATCCCAGTAGACAATTACTTATGTGCTATCCAACTAAACGGGACAGTAAAGACTCGTAAAGGTAGGGATACTCGCCGTCGCCTCTTCGTTGTCTCTGCGTGCGCTCCCACGAACTACAGCTCTGACGTCATAAAAGATGAATTTTACATAAAATTTTCTAACTTTCAGAAAGTTAAGCGCTCTGATGTAGTAATAATGACTGGTGACTTCATTGGTGTCTCCAAAGCATTGCTTGCACATCCTGGGATTATTGAGTAAACAGTGCTGTTGTTAGGAAACGGTTACCAGTTAAGGATGGCAGATCAATAGATCAAGTATTGAAATTTCATCAGTTGTGGTGGCTAGGAAATGTGTTACGTTCGCCTAATCACTGACTACTACTACTTTTGTGGTGTAGGAGTAGGTTGGAAGAAAACTGTGGGCTACTCAAACCCATGAAGTAACTGACAACTGGACTGATCCAGGTTGGTAGGTGTAGACTCCCTGGTTGGGGACTGTGAAAGGATAGTAATCGATGGTTAGAGACCTTGAATGACGTGGCTCAAAATCTTCTAGATTCCTCATTCCCTTGATCTTTTTCTTTTAAAGTTTATTTCACTAGATTTTACTTCTTGAATGATATCCTCTAACCCTAATCTTTCCAATTACCACTAATACTTCTACCACTGTGGGATCTGAATCTACAGTTGAATTTCTGTGCTAATATGGTATGGCAACTTGAACTGAGGAACATCCGTACAAAGTTCTATGTTTTAACTGACTGACTAACTGGGAATAACATTTGAAGAGACTTGGAAGTATTAGACGGCCGTTTCATCCTAGTAGTATGGGACTCTCCAGTGGCAGTGCGCATCTACGGCCACCGCTCATGGAATAACACAAACACGTTCAATCACTGTTAACGCCGATGTTTTGATTCTTGATTCTTAAACGTAAACAATATTCTCTTATTTTACACTTTTTTTTAAGATTGGACGACATCGTCATCCTCGTTGGACAACATGTATTGAAATTCTAGATGATGAACATTTTCTTGCTGCAGAAGTTGAAAATAATCTGTTTGTAGTCTCTAGAGATCTACCAGAAAACACAAAAGAACCAAGTTTTCGTGCATTATTATCATCATCTGCATCAACAACAATATCAAGCGATCCATGTGTTTTACCATCATTATCAAGTCATTTACAAGTGAATAATTCGTCTTCTTCATCATCGTCAAAGACCGCCAGTTCATCCACTCAACCTGGTGTTGGTGGCGCCAGTGGCGGCGTCGGCGGCGGCTGCAGCAGCACTGCCACTACTACTACTACTACTACGAATGATAGTAATGTTTCTTCTTCCTCCACTGGTCCTAGTTCGAATACTACAACTGCCTCCAATGCAGCATCAGCATCATCGTCATTATTATCATCAACATCAACATCATCATCGGTAACAGAAAATCGTACTGGTAGTAATAGTGGTAGTGGTAGTACTAGTAATACACAATCAACAACTCGTCATTTTCTTGATTCACGTTTAACTAGTAATAAACCTAACTCAAGTGGTGGTGTATCCGGTGAAATGCAACGTCTGGTTGATTGTGCTTATTTTCATACAGGAGATTTTATCAATGTATTTGTACGTGGTAAGTAATTTTCAAACCATATATTTTGATGTCATTGTAATTTCGATCAAAAATACAAGTTGATTGGTTAGTTGAAATCATAAAATCGGTGAATGTTACTGTTGGTAATGTTAGATCCACAGAACTTGCTTGACAAAAATGCCTTATTTTGGATTTCACGTTTGTTGAGCATGTTGAGCTGATCAGTTGACCTTGAAATTTCATTTCCCACAAGGAAAATACATGGCTGTGATTGGCTGCTGTGTATTTTAGTGTGCTACTTTTGTGACTGTACCAAGGACGTTTCTATGATGTATAAATAAACGAGAGTCGTGTGCTTGATTGTATTGTGTGATTGCTGGGTGTTTGTAGAATATACTTTCTACGCTTACCAAGTCTTCTGTTTTACAGTTTGGGATTCAAGGTAACCTACCTGGACGCTGGTGAACTCGTAGTAGCTTCAAACGTACCTAGTGAAGAAAACATACAGTTACACCGCAATTAGAAGGAATCTGGACGCTATAGGTATCAACCAAAGTCTTCAACAGGGTATTGTTAAACAGAATGAAGGACTTCGTAGACGCCCAACTTCGAGATCAATAGGCTGGTTTTCGTAAGGATCGATCGTGTACCGACCAAATTACAACATTACAGATCATTGTGGAACAATCAAATGAGTGGAACTCACCATTTTACATCAACTTCATTGACTATGAGAATGCATTTGTTAGCGTGCACAAGACAACAGTATGAAGGCTTCTTCGACACTACGGCGTGCCTGAGAAGATAGTCAACATCATACGAAATTCTATTGTTGGATTAAACTTTAAAATAGTGCACGGAAGTCAACTAACAGACTCTTTTGAGGTGAAGAACGGCGTCAGGCAAGGTTGCTTACTCTCACCCTTTCTCTCTCTCCTGGTGACAGACTGGATTATGAAGATGTTAATATGTTGAGGGGTGCACGGGATACAGTGGCCAGCTAGGATGCAGCTAGATGATCTGGCTATTCTATCACGCGGTCGTTTCTTCGTGGGATTCTTCAGTGACAGTGAGCATCCACGACTTTCGCCTGCGGGAATCGAATCTAACCTAGGACCTTCGAACGCCTAAACTCTAGAAGCTTGAAGTGTTGGAAAACTTTAGTACAATTTTAACGTCTGCATGCTCATTATGAAAATCTTAATGCATTAACCTAAGTCTGAATTCTGCTCCAATCCAGATTTCATTTCAATTTCAATTGTCAATATACTAACAATCATATATGACTAACCAGACATTGATCATCAATTAATTTAAATATTCTTTAAACACATTTCAAATATAAATTGCATGTTTTTTCTCACTCAATTCTTATCATCTATATAGATGATTACTAGATATTTAAAAAATGAAATTATTCCAAGAGTTAAGCTCACGCGCAATGGTTTCAATGTTTCACTGGTGGAATTGAGTCAATCAGCTTGCAACGCAGAACTTAGTACGTACACACGCACATCAATTCAAGTTGCCATACCACACACAGAGATGCAGTCGTCAATTCAAATCTTATCTTAGTAGAGGTAGTAGCAGTGTAAGCGCTAATGGAGAAGATTAGTGATCGGAGATATGTATCCAGAAGTATTAATCGAGTGGAATAAGTTTAAAAAGAAAAAACAGTTATGAGGAATTTAGATTAGAATGTGAGAGAAGACCAACAATAGACACATCTGCGCCATCGCAAACGATTTTGAGCCATGTTATTCAAGATCTCTAATCATCGGTTGCTATCGTCTCACGGACCCCAACAAGATAGTCTTCACTTACTAACATGGCTAAGTCCAGTAGTTAGTGACTTCATGGACTTGTACCATACTGCGTTTAGACTACCTCTAGCTTTATTCCAGCCTACCCCTACATAAGACAACATCGCTCATCTAGGTAGCCGGTTGTTAGGTATACGCAACCCATCTCCTAACTACCTCAACTGATGAAAAGTCACTGCTTCTTCAAGTGATTTGCCATCCGTACCTAGTACCTTTTTCTCAAACCCCAGCATTGATTGCTCGATGATCTCAGAATATACGAGCAGTGCTTCGAAGATACCAATGATCAAATGCTAGTAACCTATAAATATCCTCTGCTAGAACTGGCCATGTTTTACACCCGTAAAGTAGGATGGAGCGAACATCTATTCAGTAGACTGGTCCTTTGGTTAGCAGACGGATGTTTTGTCTACGCCACAAGTGATGAACGTTGACAGACGTTAATCGAGCCTTCTGTATCTGAAATTTCATCAAACCCGGCAATCAGGACTCAAGACTAGTGGAGTGGTCAACGTGCTCAACCACTTCACTCCCTATTATCACTAGAGTTCATATTCCGATACAAAGCAATCACGAAGCAGCATTTTGACGGGGGGGGAATCGCACCCCGAACATGCTTGCATTGTTGCTTAGGGTCGTTAGAAGACTGAATTTTGTCAGCGTCTTCAGCAAACAGAATAATGCATATTCTGAGTCGAAAAATGGATCTTTTGGTAGAAGGTCAACCTCTGAAGAGTCAGATGGTAGGTAGTTCGTCTGCAAAAACAAAGTTGAATCAGGATGGAGAAAGTGAACAACCTTGATGACCACCTTTGTAGTAATCAATTCAAACGACGATTCGCCATAAGCTGTGACTTTTCGACTAGCTGTGTTCGAATGGAGAACCTGTACAAAGTTATTGTGTTTATTTAGCGCACTTTTCAATGACAGGCACTGACATAGAACCTCATGATTAACAGAGTCACCTACTTAACAACTTAATTCTTTATTTGTGAAACCGTAATACAAATTTAACTTGAAAGCTAATTAACATACATTTTTGTTTAAGGTAATCTTGTACTTCAAAATGCCGAAGAACGTTGGGCTGCTGTCGGTTATCCTGGTCACCTTTATGGTACTGTCAATGGAGGTTTAGGTCTTCTTGTTCAAGTCTCTCCAGTTTTATTTGCATTTTTAAAAGAAATTGAATTTCGCTTATCAAATTTAGTTGTACCTGTTGGTGGATTTCCACATGATACATGGAGAGCTTTTAAAGCTGATCGTGAAATTAAAATGGCACATAATTTTGTCGATGGTGATCTCATTGAAACAGTTACCGATTTAAATATGGAAGATAAAGCTAAACTAGTCAAAGGTTTACGTATACCGGTATGTAACACATTTGTTTCCGGTTATTTATGTCATTATGTAATGTAATTATCGGTATTATTATGATTGTGATTATTTCTGTAAGCCTTCACATAGTTAAAGATTCCCATTGTGAAAATTAGAACAACACATATAAGCGAACAATATTGTTTTCGATTAGATCGTCATCAGGCTAGATGCTTCACTAACAGAGCAAATATGATTTGTTCAGTGGATACCTTAAGTCAGGAGTTGGAATTCATCAACGACTCACTAACCGAGATTGGTTATCCCAGCGCATTCATAAAGAAGTATATGTCTGCCGTAAAAAAAGAAGTTGGTAGTTTCGACCGCCGAAAAGAAACCTTTATTTATAAAGTTACAATTCAACGGGGATGTGGCCTGCGATACTCTGCAGGACAGATTAATAAGAGTAATTAGTAGAACATTCAACGCTGCCAAACTTGCATTGACTTTCTCCAGTCGATCAGCGATGTCTACCCAAACGAAGGATAAGTTACCTGAGTTGGCCTCCTCTATGTGCATATACAAATCCAGCTGCTCCTGTGGAGATAGCTATATCGGGCGTACTTCCAGGCAACTTAACCAACGAATCAGTGAACATCTCCCAGCATGGTTTATGAAGGGTCAGTCAAAAACAATACGCAGTTCTATCTTAGCACACCTGGTAGATAGTGGTCACATTGTAGATAAATCTAGATCTTTTCGAGTGATCTATCGTATACCTCCATCATTTCCCAACGGAGTTCGATCCCGTCTCCTACACATAGCAGAAGCCATAGGAATACGTACATTCAACCCTAATTTATGTGTTCAGAAGAAATTCGTGACACCCCTATCTCTTCCGTGGCCGGATATGACGTAACCAACGATTGACATTATATTTTTTATTTTATTTTTACACAATTGCTTATTACGTAATGTTTTTGATGTTTTTTTGGTGATTATTTGAATTCTATTCATCCACCTTTGACCTACTTTAGTTATCGTATTTTATAAATTTTCTTACTACTATCGGTTCACCTATCTTCCTACTATCCACTTGTACTTTTGCCTTTTTCATTTCATTGTGATTATCACTGAAATTGCCTTGATTGGTTCAACATTTTCATATATAAATATTCATGTATATTACAGTAAAGCCTGATGACGATCTAATCGAAAACAATATTGTTCGCTTATATGTGTTGTTCTAATCTTCACATAGTTATTGAATTGCGTTGTTATTATTTTGTTCAAGTGTTTCACTGTCTCGTAGTCAACATTAAGACATTTCAGTTGTATCAACATGATTCCACTTCGTTACTTTTTATATGAGATTAAGTTATTGAATTGAGTACTACTGTGGTGTGTGCTACTTATACGGACGATATAAGTAGTATAAGAAGGGACGTGAAAGAAGAAGTCTCACGGTCAGAAGAGGAAAACGGAAAGCAAATGGAGCAAAAGCAAGAAGTAAATGGAGTACCAACAAGAAGGAAAGGAAGCAACAACAGGAATGGAAGAAGGATGGAGCGTTGGAAGTCACGACTCAAAGATGGTGTGCAAATAGAGTGTTCAATGTAATGTTTTCGTTTTTAATTGACTAAGAGTGTATATTTGCATAATACAATCTTCCGCGCCTGCCTTAGTCTTCTCACTACTACTTATATCAACTCTCAACCGCAGATTGTCGTAGGTTGATGAAATCATTAACATTGATAATTTGAATCATGTTGGTCAGCAGTGTAAACTACTATCTGTTGAGACCAGTAAGGAATATGTGTGTAGGCGATGTAGATTGAATGGGGATAATCCTGCGCGGAAGCTTGGAGAACTACGAAAGCCATCCTCCAGAAGATACAAGTTTTTATGGACAGTTGTCTACGCAAAATACTGAGGATTCGTTGGCCAGACACCATGAGAAACAACCTACTATGAGAGAGAACAAACCAGATTCCAGCTGAGGAAGAAACGGTAGTGGATAGCACACACATTGCAGAAAGCACCCAACTGCGTCACAAGACAAGCTGCCACCTGAAACCCTCAAGGTAAGAGCAAAAGGGAGGCCAAGGATCGTATTACTCCGAGAAATAGAGAAAGATGTGAGAAGAATGAATAAAAATTGGACAGAACTGGAAAGCGAAGCCTAGGACAGAGTAGGTTGTAGAATACTGGTTGTCGGCCTATGATCCATTGGGTGTAACAGGCATAAGTAAGTAAGTACCTCTAGTTTAGAATCACGTTTGAAGCTGACAAGTGAAATGTGCATTTTTATTGATTATTTTCATGTACTTTCCTTTTTTTTAAAAATTAAAATACTTTCATATTTTACAGGTAAATATGAATGAATTTGGAACTGCTGGTTCAACGTGTACTGTTGATCCAGAGACAAGAGAATGTACTGTGGAAGATTTAGTTAAAGTGATCGAGGAAATGTCACGTCTGCATTAGTAGTAGCCAATATGTTGTAACCAAAACTAAAAATCATACTAACCAATGGTTGATATTGATGATGATGATGCCATTGTCACTATTTACTCACATTCAATGTGTTTATCTAATTGATGATGAATACTGTTAGATTTCTTCTGTTTTTTTTTAAAAAAAGTCATATTTTCCAACCTAATAATTATTGCAAACACTTGATAATTCTGTACATGTTTCCCATTTCTCTCTCTCTCTCTCTTCACCAATACAATTTCCCAATTTCATATTATATAGCATAACATAACAGCATACTGATTATTGATATGTCAGAATAGAGTTTGCTGAGACACTCTGTCAAGACTTACCACCCCACCCCACCCCCTCTGGTCCTTCACCATATAATGTGAGTGTTAGGATATCATATTTCTTTGTCGGTTGTATTTCTTCTTGCTGAAAAAAATATCAAACTATCTTGTGCACATCATTTGGTTTATTTTGTAATAAGGTCTACTGCTAAATATTCTCAGATAACATAAAAAGACTCGACTGATATATTGTAGTGACTAGTGTCACTTCAGTACTCACATAGTAATGCAGTATGCATCGTGGTTTTTTTCATTTATCGTCCGTTCAGTCAAGTAACTTCAATCGGGTTTAAGACACCACCATGTTACATCTAGATTCACAAAAACTTGTTATTTAGTTTACATATGTTTACGAAATCAACCATACTGATCAAGCATATTAGTTAGGTGATAACTGATGACCAGGAATGTTCCATAGATTCTCTAACATTGGCTTACGGTACTTGGACGATGGGAACCAAAAGCAAATCTCAATAGCATTAGGATCTAGTTGGTAGTGAATGGGATGAATATGTGATATCGGGTATTCAGGCGATAGATAACTTGTTGGCCTATGAGGATCTAGAGTAGAGCCAATGACTGTATGATCCTCAGATAAGGAAGTATAGGTCACAGCTTTAGTCCAGTTAAGATGTAGAACTTCTTACTTATGTAGATCAGTCAAAGTTGTCATACCACATTAATGCCACTATGCAACTGTTGATTCAAATCCAATAGTAGTAGAAATATAAGCAGTGGTCGGTAAGATTGGGGTTCAAGGATATTAGTCGAGTATAATTCCTTGAAATAAATTTGAGACAATAAAGAAGAATCCAGATTAGAATTAGGGAGAGAATGCACCTGCGCCATTGCAAATGATTTTTTGCCGTGTCGATCAAGGTCTCTAACCATCGGTTACGATTGTCTCTCAGGTTCCAACCAGGTAGTGTACACTTATTAACATGGCTCAGTGCTGTTGTCATTGGCATATTGGGCTTGTGCCATGTTTAGTGCTGGTTTTCCTAGCTTCCTTTCAGCCTATACCAGCAGATATTGCTAGTCGGGGCAGTTCGTGGTTTGGCATTCCGTAACCATCTCAACTAATAGTTTCACTACGTCCCCAATTGACCTGCCATCCTTACCTAGTACCCATTTCCTAACAATAGCATTGCTTACACGGTGATCCTGGGAGAGACGAGCAATTACCTCGGACACCTATGATCGAGTACTAGTAACCTACGAATATCATCTGCTATTTCTGGCCATGTTTCGCAACCGTAGAATAGGAGGGAGTGAACTGTTGCACAGTAAACCCGTCCTTAAGTTGGTAGACGGATATCCCGAATTTAGTTGCTACTTTGAGGTGGCTATCTTGAAGATCCAACCGAGTTATATGAGCTGGAGTATATGTTCCTGAAGGTTCTACCATACGACTAAAAGCAGCTACTCAAGGTCTGAGGGCGATGCTGCCTTCTCACAAGGAAGGAAGGGTTAGAAAAGGTCGAGCCCTAAAAATGTCACACCTCACGGGACTCCGTCTTCGGCGGTAAGACCATATGTGGAGTGGAGTTAACACGTCAATTTCCTATGAAAAGACCGTGCACGACCAGTCTCAAACTGTTTTAATGTGCAGTCACGTTACCAGGCCTCTAAGACCAACACTAATAGAATATTTTTTCAGGTTAATCAAGAACCACTCTATCACGTTGTGGGAAGTGACATCCACCCTCATAGCCGTAACAGCACACGAGACCGAACTGGTCACAATCACATCCTTCCTATAATTGCGCGGAATCTTGTAAATGTCTGGCCTTGTAATAGATTTTTCAAACCTTGCTAATGGCACTGAGGTCGATGCGACAGCGTCATATAAGTGAGAAAACATTTTCCCGTTGTAGGTAGGTATTAGAGTTATGGAGGTTGGTTGCTTAAAGGCCAACCTATTGTTGTTAGGCATGTCAGCTTTGATCTTATGTATAAACTTTTGGATTTATATTAACACGACTTTTAAACGACCATCAATGTTATGGCATTTAAGCCACTATTTCGGCTGTGTCTCGATCAATTTAGAGTTGTCAGGAATCCTAATCTCCTAGATAGAGTCCAACACCTTAAGTCTGGGAATGACTGTCCTATAACTTATCTACAAAATCTCAACTTAGAATATGCATTTATATAGTTAAACTATAATGGCCAACGAACTTTCTTGTCCGTGCACTGTCATTTACTAATATTTCGACTTCTAAAATGTTGGCATAGTTTACGGTCGATCAATGCACTGAGATTCTCTAAACTTTAGTTCCACTTTGGCAGCTAAGTTTGCTTAAGTCAGATGCCGCATATGAGAATTCGGGTCAGCTGAAGAAGACGCTTAACAGCATATTAAAGCGGAATCTAAAACATATACCAGACGAATTGGTTTAGATATTTTTATTACCAACAATTTTCTTTCAAGAAGTTAAAAACGAATAAAAGAAAGCGATTAGGTTAATAAGAATACTTCTCGGTACATGTATTCAAGTGAAACAAATGGTAGGAAAACTACCTTTGGACTAGATCTTACGGCTAGTATAAAAACTGGCGGTCAAGTGCGATAAGTCTGTTTTTTTAGCTGCAATTATTTTGGAAACCATAACAGCATATAACTGAGAGATAAAAATAGGTACAGATCGGAAGCACTAGTCCAAGTTTCCACACCTACTCTCATAGTGACCTGGACTCAGTAGAGTGTGGAGCACTAAAAATTGCTATAGTTTCATAAACAACATGATTGTCTGTTCCGCACTAATCGCTACAGAGACTGCCAACTCATCAACTTTGTCAACCACTGCATGGCCTTACAACCCAACTTGACAAGCTTAAGCCAAAGATCCCTTATTATTTACTAGTACTGTTATTTACATAAGACATTCCCAACCATTTTAATTATCCTATTCGGGAGGTGCCGCATATTTTGCACAGTTACTAGCTGAGCGAAATAAAGACCATTACGAAGTAGTCCGAACATAAGTGATATATATATTACACAGTTTACATTGAGTTTACAAACAGTAAATCTGTCATACAACAGTTATTTAATAAAATAAGGTTACAAAAAAATAGTGAGCGCCAATGTATATATCAGCAAAGGAAACAAAAAAGTCACTATTACCAGGCATTTAAATAGTTTATAATACAGGTGAAGCGAATTTTGTTTTTCAAAAAATTTACTACTTAAGATTGACATATTGGCTAGGAAATGAAAATGAGTGATGACCATTAGCAGTATCGAAAGTAAGCCAACCGATATTAGGAATAGTGTTCCAAGATAAAGTCAGAGTGACATTATCATTACCAATTAGTCCATGACCATCATCCCAAAAGTAATACTTTGAAGTCATTTTTCTATAGACTAGTTCAGCTTTTGATCCACGCTTGATAATTTTATCCCATAATACAACTTGATTTAGTTTGTTATCTGCTGTCTTATATTCCGCAGAAAGATATAAAAACAGTTGTTTTACATTCCAGTTAAACAAATGATCTAACGATGACTAAAAGAAATTATTTAAAATGAATTCTTACTGATAGATCGATAGTTACTAAACCCAAATCATTGTGATAACCAGCGTGAAGGGTGTGGTCATCAGCTTTGTCGACAATTGCACGTCCAACGTTAATATCAACATTAGCTGACGGTCTGATGTTAAATGTGGACAGGAAACAGAGAAACATTAGGGCAGTAAATGCAGTAAGAGTGATGGTCAATAATGCGCTACATCTTGTCAAGATTGAGTACATTCTGAAACGTTTTTAAAGACAATACAAGCTGCCCGCTAAGTCGCGTATGATGACTAGAATAATACAGTGAGTTACTAAAACAACGTCGTGTTGGCAAATACTAATTTCTTTATCGAACGGCAATATGACAGCGAAGAATTCTCTAAAGAAGAGTATTAATAATAATGAGTTAGAGAGACTATTAGTGTGTGAAATATCACATCTAACAAATCCCAATATGAAACAAATTTTTCATTGATACCGAAAAGAAAAATAATTGATTCCGATTAGTATGTTCATATCAGAAGGCTGAAGACGGTTACTAGAAGCTTTCTATGGAGCTTTAATAGATTTCTAGACTTCTCATGAGTGATTCGAAAAGTGTGAACCTTACTTCGTCGACCAGAAGATCCAGTGATTTAAATATCCAATATCTTATTCATGAACCACCAGAAATCTATGGATTTGTCACCTCAGATGTTTGGTATTGTTCAGCGGGTGGTAGTCTATCGACTCAGCTGCTCTAATGCTGGTCAATTTGCAGTTATTTTATGAATTTGTATATCCAGTGATTTAAATGAGTAAGTTTGTTTCAAGTAATTAGTTTCTCTGAAAACCAGCAGATATTACGTAACAATGCTGGCTATCAATTACTTGCTGTGTGTTGAATAATAAGGGGAAAATTCTAATGCTCATAAGAAAAATCGCGAAGTAATTGAAAATATGAATATTTAAGCATTTGATAATGTGGACAGGACAACACTATGGAAGCTTCTTCGACACTGTGGTGTACCTAAGAAGATAGTCAACACTATACAGAATTCTATTGATGGATTGGACTGCGAGATTGTTCACGGCCGTCAGCTGACAGACTCGTTCGAGGTGAAGATCGGCGTCAGGCAAAGTTGCTCACTCTCACCCTTTCTCCTTCTCCTGATGATCGACTGGATTATGAAGGCATCAACATCTGGAGGGAAGCAGGGTTCCCAATGGACAGCCAGGATGCGGCTGGACGATCTGAACTTCGCAGATGATCCGACTCTTCTATTTCACAAGCAACAAGAAATGCAGGAGAAGACGAACAGTGTTGCAGCAACAATAGGTTTCAATATACATAAAAGAAGAAGCAAGATTATTCGATGCTACACGACATGCGCCAACCAAACCAAACTTGATGGATATGTCTTGGAGGACGTTGACACCTTTACATATCTGGGCAGCATAATTGATGAGGAGGTTGGATCGATAAAGCAAGGGCTGCATTTCTGCAACTAAATAGCATCTGGAACTCCAAACAACTCTTAACAAACACCAAAGTCAGAATTTTCAATACAAATGTCACGACAGTTTTGCCGTATGGAGCGGAAACTCGGAGAACTACGAAAGCCACCATCCACAAGATTCAAGCATTTATTAACAGTTGTCTATGCAAAAAACTCTGGATTCGTTGACCAGATACCATCAGCAACCATCTACTGTGAAAGAGAAAAAACCAGACTCCAGTAGAGGAGGAAATCATGAAGAAGCGGTGGAAGTGAATAGAAAACACATTGCGGAAAGCACCTGACTGCGTCACAAGACAAGCCCTCACTTGAAACCCTCTAGGTGAAAGGAAAAGAGGAATGTTAAGGAACACATCACGCTGAGAAATAGAGAAAGACATTAGAAGAATGAAAAAATTGATCGGGACTGGAAAGGGTGTCCCAGGACAGAGTAATTTGAAGAATATTACTCAGTGACATTTGCTTCATCGATGGTGACAGGCGTCAGTGTTGATTATGTAAGTAAGTAAATATAAAGATAGCGCAAGAGGACCAAATTATTTGCGAGGGAAAGGAAACAGAGATAATGAACGAGATAGATCTGAAGAAGTAGGAACAATAACAACTAGCAAGTCTGAAGACATGCATCAAGCACAATACCATGATCCTCGTGTCTTGTGTCATGCTTTGTTGATCGAGGTCAACTGCTGGGCTCAAATTTTGCCTCCCTATCTTTGTCTTACGTATCTAGGTTGGCTCTCGGACCGTCTATTTTGGTTAGAGAGAATTTATTCTTCATGCTGCACCAAGCTTGAGGCGTCTCATTTCGGTCTTTTCTGAAGTCCACAGCCATCATACATGGGGACTTAATAGTCACATGGTGTGATGGATCAGTCGGCCGCGAAATGCTGACTGTCATGGTGGTCTGAATGCCTATGCAACATGATAACTATCGCCATTATTGCATGTCAGGAACGTGGGCTTCATCTAGACTACGACTCGCTAGCTCGGTTACGCGACCGTCGTTCTGTCATGTTAATCTCTCTATTTTTTCCAAGATATCAGGATCAACTTCTTAACATTAACTTCAAACTATGAAGCTGCTCTGATCTTCTGGAGCTATTTCACTTGTTATACTTGCATCCACCCTGATAAATTTCTGTCTGAGGATACTGTATTATTTTTGTACAGAAATCATTCATTTATACATTATTTTTTGGTTAACTGGAGTACTGAATACATTACTTTCTACTGTGTTTAAAGAAATGTTTTTGATTTATGTGTGACTACAGGAGCACGAATAGGACAATTATGGTTATTAGTAGTTACTATACAGATATTACTAGTCACCATAGGCCCTTGGGATATTGAACTCCTTATCTGAAACCGCATAGCAGTAGGCCTTAGACCCAAGGTTGTTGCTCACTGTTACCCATAGATCATGGTGAGACAGAATTACGAGTGCCAAGCCCCATACAATTCTGTAGCTATTTGTCTCTAGCCTGCAATGCACGTGATAAAATTACTGACCACGTTGATAGATATCAACTTTGCTATGGATCACCTAATAAGAAAGTCTAGGCCAGCCTACTGCGAGCATATATCTGGATCACCAATTACTTCTTACCAAGTTTCGACGCCATCAGTATAAAATAACTTCAAAACTTTGAAGGCACTCTAGAGTTCGTTTACAAACATTATGACAACTGAGAGATGCAAAAAAATCTTGTGATAATCTGGCAAGTATTGGTTTCCGTGAGTAGCATTTGGAAATTACTCTTATTTTATTTGTACAACTTACCAAGAAATTGTCGACCCACTTTAGCAGAAGTCCAGATATTCCTAAATTTTTCAACCTAAAAACTCTTAGAAAGCACTACCTCATCAAGTGCTTTAGTGAAGCCATCATATTTAACATCTTCTGGTTTTGTATCAACAAATGGCATCATCCATCTTTTTCTTGCCATAAGCATGATAGTTAGGAAAACTAATCATTCTCTGTAGCCTTGTTGTTTGCCTTTTAAGTAGTTACTCGTTTTCAAAGAGATCGGAACGGCATTCTGATTATTCTTTTCATCGTTTCACTGTTAATAAGAAAACCTTACTCAATCATTGACTAAGTTTCATAAAATGTAGAAACGCCTCTACTTTTCTACTTACTAACTCAGTCACTGTCTGGTTTGCTTGCCTACTGTCTGCAGTAAATTCCAGTAATTATTTACGATGCACACTATGCCGAAAATGGTGTTTTGGTTTTTGAAGTATTCTCGAGTAACTTCGTTGTAATACTACGAAAATCATCTGTTATTTTGACACTACTTATTGGAATCAAAATAGAGTAAATAAACTCTAAAATCCTGAATATCACAGCTTGCGGAGCAGTAAGGAAAATCTCCTCAAGATTTTGCGGTACTGTTATTTTTCTGTATTTAAAAGGCTTATAATCTCATAATCAACAGGGACAAGCACAAAATAGAGGTCAGGGATTACAGCTATTGTGGGATGTCTGAAGGTGTGTTTCTGTTCTATAAGCTGACGAAGTGTGAGTAGCTTGTATATGCACTTCCAGGTGTGAAACAAACCTGGTTTTCCCAAGTCTGCTCTTCACGAGCTTTCTTGAGGCATCCTAGCGTTATCGATGCAAACAATTTAGACATTATATCAGTCAAACTGATTTCTCTGTGAATATCACAAGAGGACATTTTCCTTTCTTTTAGACCGGAACAATCAGTGAATGAGACCAGCAGGATCAGATTATATTCAGTTCTCAGATTTTACCTGAGATCTCACTCACTTTAACCGCTAAAACTATACCTTCATCCCTAAAAGTCTCACAGAATTGATCTATCAACTAATGCTTCTCTTCCTTGTCTAAGATTCTCTGTAGCTTTTTCAACCTTATTACGAGTTGCGTAACTTACATCAACATGCCATTCAGGCTAACCGAAATGTAGCTGAAGGCTCGTTGGACAGATCCTTGAAGCGTTCTGCCCATCGATCCAATCTTGTGGATTGAGAATGAACAAAATGACCATCCCTTTGCGAGACAGTCTCACCTACACTCAAGTTCCTAATACCGATTTCCTTGATAGGTTTGAACAGTTTTCTACTCTTGGCTATAGTCTCTGCCTTTTCCATCTCTATTGCTTTCTCCACCCACCACTGTTTACAATCACTGAGTAAACTTCTTGTCAGCCTACTTTGAAGGTTACTCCTCTCTTCGTTATGTTTACCACAGCTAGACGGGATGAGTTTTCATTCCGGTAGATGCTGCTGAGATCCTTTAATTTGCCTTACTAGCAGATATCACTGCTGTTTCGACGGCTTTTCGGATATCGCTCCAATCTGTATCGGGGTGGGAATCACTTACATGGCCGCCTATCGTTTTTCTAGTTGTTCCTGAAATATTTTCTTACGTATATTCTAAATAGGTTTACTTGCGGAATACTTCCTACGTATAGTAAGCCGCAAAAAACGCGCTCGGCCTAGAGCATGATCTGAATCTAAACAGGTTCTCCAGAACGAGCGGCAGTCTTCTATCGGGCCACTACACAGGTGGTTGATGGAGTCATGTTCTAGTCCTGTCAAGTGTTGAGTCGACCTTGTGGGTTGTCACGGTTAAATATGCTACCTACCTTTAAAGTTGTTATTTGCTGGAAAAAGACAATTATCTGAGTACAGCTACAACAAATGAATGCTATCATCCTTCTTTTGAGCCGCGATACCATAAGACCCACCTAGATGTCCTTCTGCTTAGTTTCGTCCTGTTTGAGCATTAAGGTCACCCACCACCACTACTACATCAGGGCACTTAGGTCTTTGAAGGAGGTTGGAAAGCTTTCTGACGGTATCTCTAACCTCATCGGAGCTACAACCTGTGGGAAACATCGAAAATCGCGGTCTATATAGAGATGGTCCGGGTCACACTTCTTTGGGACTCCAGAGGGTATAAATGTTCGAGCCATTTCATTATATAGCTGCCGAAGGTGACCTCGTATCCCTTCAACTGGGTGCTACAGGGTTGACTTCACAGCCTTCAGTCGAGGCTGCAAAGCTGAACACCTTCATGTCTGACTTCTGTGTGTTAGGAGTAGCCGGTTCATCTGCTTAACTTCTGTTTGAGTCACCGTCAATTGTTGTTGGCCGTTTTCTTTTTTAAGTGTAAGTGTTCTAAATACGTCTGTAGTGCGCTCTAATACGTTATGCCTACATGGCTTGTCCCAGCCTTTAGATAAACTAATTGATCCATTTTCCTCCAGTTAGGGTTTAGGGCGAAATAGTTTTGCTGACTGTAGAGGGGTATGGCAGTAGTAAGGCGTTGCCCTCGGACAACCAGCATCTGCAGCGATGCTGTCGTTTCACAAAGGTAAGGGTTAGAAAAGGTCGACCCTAAAAATGGTTGTCTTAACTTGATTGTGTATATGCTTGCTTACTTTGCTTATCAGATGTCTTGCTTGTCGGAGTCAGATCCAAGGCCTTTGAGCGTGGATGGGTTTCTGTTTCACTTTTCTTTTAGATTCTGTCATACGTTTCTCTTCATACTCAGTTGGCTCACAAGTTGCAAGCATACTAAAAGCCAAACTTAGTACAACTTTCACTTTTTCCAAATGACATTGAATAAGACCGGCGATTCACTACTACTTTCGACATCATGCAACTGAATTGTTTTGTCCAAAGTAATATCAGAAAAATCTAACCTGTCATACAAAATTTGTATTTTACCTGATTTTACTAGTTAAGAAAGTGCATAATTTGTTTTTATAGAAAACTTTTCATTTGAAAACTATACACATGTTCATGTTTATCATATAACACCACGTAAATAATAAACCCATTGAAATCCTTCACCTTTTTCTACGAAGGATGAATCACTAGAACCTGATTGTTGCTGTTGAGGCGATGATGATGTTGATGATGATGATGAAGAAGTAGTAGTATCAGTAATTACATTCTGTGGTCCTTTACGAATTGTACGTGCACTTGATTGAGCGCGAACTGCCGTCACTACTAGTTTTCCAGTTATTGGAGATTTAGTGATATTATTGTCAAGACCAACAGGGATTCTAAATTCTTTACCAGGTCTAATAATTTCACTTTGTTTTGGTAGATTAAATATAGTATTATCAACCTGTCAAAAAACAAAAACAAACGTATGTACGTTTAATTTATAAATCATGATTTTACTTGCTCAATTCATTGAATGTCACAAATTAATTACAAACCTGATCAATGGAATTCAATCAGGACAGTTCAATGATCAATTTAACATTGACAGATTTACACCATTTCAAAGTTTAGTAGCAGCTGAATAAACAAATGCTTAATACAACACACATGATTAGAAACATCAATAAAACTGTCAACTTACTTGGAATGAATATAGTATAGGTGTAGAGAATACATTGCGGAATATGATATGTTTTGTTTCACCAGCTTTAATAATGATTGGACCTTGTGGTTGTGGTGCTAGAGCTATACCTTTTAAAAGAAAACTATATTCACCAGCTTGTGCACTTGTTATTGTTAGGGTAGCTAGTGAATTGCCCAATGTAGTTGGTTCATAAATCACTTCCAATGCTGCTTCAACCCCCGGTGCTACACTTAATTGTTTTTCACAATGATAATCAGAATGGTCTATCTGTAAATAAAGAAGGTTAGTTATTCGGTTAGATTTCTGATAAAAATATCGTAGTACTTTTTTTTTTTTTTCTAATGTAACTGTCATTAAAAGGATTTCTTTACAGCTAGTTCATTTTTAGTGAATCCAATTTTATGAGGAGAACGTGATTGGTTTAATAGAAATATTTATTATTATTATCATCAGTTGTACCAGTGATTGTTTTACTGAACCTCTTTGTTTAACTGCATTGAACTCATCCCCTTTTCCGTTCATGTGGCTTTCATCTCGCTCATCGTATTCACGGTAGTCTCACCTGTATGTACGCTTTGGCGCGATCTCATCATTATTTCGATACTACGAGATCCCCAACAAATATACATTCATTCTTACATCCAACCTTCTTCTTGATTTTGGTTTCACGGAGGCATTTTATCAGGTAACTGGTCTTTACTGGTGATTATAGTCAACCACGACTCGAGCCACTAAAAGTTAACCTTGAAGACACTAATCATATTCGTTATAATAAATTATCATAGAAGTGACCTGATAGAGTCTGGTTATCAGCCTATTTTCAATAAGACTATAAATTTCAATAATTTAATAATCTAAAGGTCAGATAGATTTCCTAAATTCTTATCATAACAAATTAACAATAATGATTTTCTAACAGTCTTGAGTGAAGAAAATATCCGTTCATAAAATTTAAGGTCACATTTATGTACATGTCGGTGAATGAATGACATTCGCCTAATATGTTGAACTGATTGAAGTTAAACGGATACACAAGTAATTCGAAGATTAGGTGATTATCTTGAGACCTACTTGTCCTGGGCTCGATCCCCTAGAGAGATATGCTCTGTTGAAATGTCCGATCTTTGAAGAAAACGACAATCTAATGTTTCATTGTTTTCAACTGTTGTTTACCACCAAGCCAAGACGTAAATTACAAACCGGACAATCACCACAAACCTCTTATACTGATAATTGTTTATACATTTACAGTTCAAATACATATATATTATAATTACGCTCATTTTGCAATCACTATAGTTATAGGGAAAAAGCAAGATTCTCCGATACAACACAACATGCAGCCACCAAATCACTCTTGATGCAGAAGCTTTTAAAGATGTAGAAACCTTTACATATCTGGACAGCATCATTGATGAGCAAGATGGATCTGATGCAGATGTAAAGGCGTGAATTTCCAAAGCGAAGGCAGCATTTCTACAACTGAACAACACCCATAACTCTAAACAACCATCAATCAACATCAAAGTCACAATTTTCAATACAAATGTCGAGAAAGTTTTACTGTATGGAGCGAAAACTTGGAGAACCTCGAAAGTCATCATTCACCAGATGGAAGTATTTATTTACAGTTATCTACACATGATACTTCAAATCCGTTGTCTAGACACCATCAACAACAAACTACTGAGGGAAAGAACAAACAAGATTTCAGTTGAGGAAGAAGTCCATAAGAAACGCTGATGGTGGATAGGACACACATTGAGGAAATGACGCAAATGTGTCACAAGCCAAACCCTCACATGGAATCCACAAGACAAAATGAGAAGAGAAAGTCCGAGGAACACAATATCCCAACAATGAGAGATAGACATGCAAAGAATGAATAGCAATCAGATAGAACTGGAAAGGAAGGCCGAGGAAAGAGTATGTCGGAGAATGGTGCTAAGTGGCCTCTGCTCCATTGGGGGTATATATATATATATATATATATATATATATTACGAAAGGCATCATCCAGAAGATACAAGTGTTTATTAACAGTTGTCTACGCAAAATACTTCGGATTCGTTGGCCAGACACCATCAGCAATAACTTACTGTGGGAGAGAACAAATCAGATTCCAGTGGAGGAGTAAATCAGGAAGAAGCGGTGGAAGGATAGGACATACACTACGAAAAGCACCTAACTGCGTCACGAGACAAGCCCTCACTTGAAACCCTCAAGGCAAAAGGAAAAGAGAAAGGCCAAGGAACACATTACACCGAGAAACAGAGAAAGATATAAGAGGAATGAACAAACATTGGACAGAATTGGAAAGGGAAGCCCAGGACAGAGTTGGTTGGAGAAAACTGGTTGGCGGCCTATGCTCGATTGGGGGTAACAGGCGTAAGTAAGTAAGTAAGTAAGTAAGTAAGTATATATATATATATATATATATATATATATATATATATATATATATATATATATACAAACTTACATTTGTAATAAATTCATTTTTAGTTTTTGATAAATTTGTAAATTTCACAATTTGACATTGTCGTTGTCCTATTGTAGTACGAAAATGTACTGTCGATTCTAAACCAGCCGATGTTGCTTGTAAATTTAATTCATAAATAAATGAACCTAATTCATTACAATTCGCTTCAAATTTTCCATGACTCTGACCAATTTTCAATGGTAAATATTCAAGTGTTACTTTACCCTGAAAGAAAAAGTACAAAATATATACAAATTTACGATGAAAGCCGTATTCTTTAAATTTTTCAAGGTCAGATTTTCCGACTTCAGTCTATTCATGATATTAGTGAGGTCATTATTCAATCGGATACTTTTTTTTCACTGCTATAATATCTATCCTCAACTAACTTGAAAACAATTCTTGATGGTATTTATCTCAACATTGAACTATTGATCACCGGCAAGCATTTAAAACAAGATGACTAAAACATAAAGTTAAGATAAATAGAGCAGTGAACATATGGAGGAAATAAAAATTACTTTACGGTCACTGGATACTACCCCTAACTCAGGGCTCATATGGTTGAAAAATGAAATTTTCGGAAATGCGAAAAAAAAATCATTACCCTACATGAGATACAGGGTAGTAGAAAAGTGTTTGGGCCTATTTGCATCAAGCTGGGCTGCCTCTTCTACTATCCTACCTCATATATGTGTACACCATAGGCTAAGCTAAACTGCTATGTAGAGCTGAAGGTCTCCTATGAGACCAAAGGTTCGCTATGAACATTGTGGATGGCTTGGTATTGCTTTGGCAAGCATCGCTAATAGTTCATATACACAACTGATTAGCAGGGTGACCAATTTCATTGATGCTGGTGGCTGTTTTGCAACATTCCCGAGGGCCATTGTCACCAGGGTGTCAGATACCTCTGTGGTGGTTGCGCCACAGGACTGAGCCGATTTGTTCATGTAGACAGTCTCCTTGGTTCTCCAGCAAAATCAATGTAAAATTGCCCTTGACAATTGAGGGCTAATTTATTTATAATTGTGAACTGTCACTTACTTCACAATTTGCTGGTATTTGTAATTGATTTGGACATTGAACTTCCGGCATAGTTGTATTCATTTGAAAATTAACTGGTATTGATAAAGGATTTTCTAATGTGAGTGTATGTGTCACTGATTTACGCACAGATGTTTGCATTCGAATCACTTCGAAACTTTTATTTCGTACAGATTTAAAATTCACTTCGAAATATTGATATTCTTTAGTTGTTTCATTGGTAAATGTTACCTAAATGTAGACATTGAAAATGATGTCAGTAAAAATTATTATTGAGCAAACATTTGCTCAGCATAACTAGAAAAAAACGCCCCCCCCCCTGAATAAATTGAGATCCTTATAAACATAAGTGTCTTACTCTGCTGAGCTTGGGATGTTTTTGGTTGTAAAGTTTTGATTGTTGTTTTTATGAAAAAGGTTATCGACCTGAAGTTTGAGCTGATGATGATGTTGTTCAGAAGAAGAACAACGAAAGCTCCATAACCAAAAAATATTCAACTCACAGAACGAAACTCCGCCATAATTATCCTTTTGAGCTATGTTTTGCGGTGTAGGAATAGGTTGGAAGAAAGCTAGGGGCGGTCAAACCAAAATATGGCGCAAATCTATGAAGTCACTGACAAGTGGACTGGGTCATGTTAATAGGTGTCGACTACCTGGTTGGGTCTCGCGAGATTATAGTAATCGATGGTTAGAGACCTTGAGTGCCATGTCTCAAAATCGTTTGGAACCGCGCAGATGCATTCATACTTTATGTTCTCTCACATCCTAAACTTCTGAATTCCTCATCATCTCTATCTGAGTATTACTGAGATCTCAAGAGGAAATGTAATTTGTGACGGAGTTTCGTTCTCTGAGCTGGATGTTTCTGGTTGTGGAGCTTTCAGTGTTTTTGTTCTAAAATACATCATCTTCACAAACTGTAGGTAGAGTAGTGAAGTAATCGAACTTCTCCACGTACGACTCGTAACTTGTCCTGTATAAGGTCAATAACAACCAATCAAGATAGACGTCAACAGGATAAGCTTATAGTCATACGTGGAGAAATTCGAATAGTTCACTGTTTTGCCTGAAGTTTGTGCTGATGATGATATTGTTCAGAAGAACAATGATAGCTCGTGGAATCAAAGTCCATCACAATCATCCACATGACCTACAGATTTTTTCCACCATCTTAGAAGTAATTTTTTAGAAATGACCCGATTCAGAGTTCTCCGGCTGTCAGAAGTAGCTGTTATAAAGATCAAAATGTTGAAACTCTTAGTTCAGAAAAAAAAATTATCTTCACCCGTTTTTCGTAATTTGGTACATTTTAGAAACAATAAACCAATGATCAGTTTTGTAATAAGACAATTTGATTCCATTCATGAATCGATCAGTGTTAGACCGCGATTAGAAACCTGAAAGTACTTTGCGACCGTTTCGTCCAAGTTATGGGACTCATCAACAGTGCACGTCCACGACCTCCGCTCGCGGAAGTCGAACCCAGGAAGTTTGATCTCACACGCGAACGCTTAACCTCTGGACCACTGAGCCAGCATACAACGGTGTTATCCTTTGACTTTGATCAATCTACGGTCTTGCGCAACCTAATCCACTGTTCTCGGTGGGCTGATTGTTTACATTTATTCTGATCACTTATTCACAACTAGTCAATAGACGGCATCAAAAATAATTGCAAAAATTTGTACTGCGTGTACTTTTATGTCGAGCCCGGAGGGTTAGTCCCAAGCTTTAGGATAAATTAATTAATCCTTTCTCCCCGAGTTGCTTTCGGCTCGTCTTTCGACGTTATCAACTGTTCGCTTTTATCTTCGTTATTTCTATGCGAATGTATGTGCCGCTTACTGCATTTATTACAATGTCTAGCTTATTTTGTCTGACTATAAATGCTCAGTCATGCCTCATTACACTGATTTGACTTGCTTGCCTTCTCCACTTTGCTTCGCTCTGCTTGTATGCTTTTAATTCCCACATGTGTCTGCTTGAACGAATACACGAACAAATGCGTGGAACAAACTCACCCAGACTCATCCGTATTCGGCTTCTGATTACCACAGTCGCACACACGGGGTTCGCCTAAGTATGGTATACGGAAACTGTGGGAGAGGTTTATTTCATAGCATACTCGAAAGTACTTAAATAAAGCAGTTAACTAGAGGCCAGTAAAATGGTTATCCCGACGATGAATATAACGCAGCCACAAGTTTGTACATTTCATTTACCGTTGATATTCAAGATTGGAATTGATTAGTCTCTGCTGGCATACTTGTATTTCCTAAGCGAATTGCTTCAATACGATCATTTGGTCACAAACTATTTAGGAAAGTTGGATAGTGACTAGTGTAGTGTATTGAATCCCTGATTCTTGTTTCGTTCTACTATCCGAAACTCATCAGCTGAATTTATCTGCATCCCAATGTCACAATTATAAATGATACCTATTGCACAAGCTATTTTGATGACCATCAGAAAATGATATCCTAAACGACAAAGGTTGTATCCAATACAGAATTACATATTAATTACCATAAGTATAGTCAATCAGAATAGAGAAGTTAAAACAAGTAAAAGTCACACACATCAAGATTAAAACAGAATGAAAGGGATACAAGTGTCTGAGATGAACAAACAATAACTTTGGAACAACATTTAAAGAACATTCGAACAATTTTACCATACATCCATCTGTGGTGGCCAAAATTCAGTAATTAGCTCGTCTAGACAATCGTTACAAAGTAGCGTCTGACGGTTATAAATCAGAAGATGAATTCGAAGTAATGAATACGTTCATTTTTGGACACACCAACCACAAAGCGAAGTTGAAAAGGAGCGAACAAAGCGTACGAAACGACGTGAATTGATGGAAGAGGGTTAATGAGCCAACTCCTTGAGATAGAGCGTGACTAAGAATTTATAGTCAGACAAAAATAAGACAGACATGTGACCAACGAGATAAGCACACATGAATAAAAGTGACGAATAGTTGACCAGGTCAAATGACAAGTGGTGGAACAAATCATGTGAGCTCATACAAACCAGATAATAATAAGAACGAATGGTACATATAAATTGTTCCTCCCAATACAAATGGCTTGGTTAAATAAATTAATAGAAAGGGCTTAACCAAATTAAATGTAAGCGAACTGGATGGAATATATGTGGAGGAGGCACTACACATCCATCCATCCATCCATTGATTAAAACAATAACTTACTTTAATCAATGTTGAACCTTCACGATAAGTGAATATACTTAATTTATATTCTTTACTAGAATCTGCTGGAATGTCGATATAATCTAAACCTTGTATAATTGTTATATTCGGATCAAATTTATCTGGACGAAGAATTTCTCTAGTCACATGAAATCGTTGTTGTATATTAGTTAACCAATTCGGTATTTGTACAATTTCTGTATGCAGCTTTTTACATTCAATTTCACGATTTATACGTACCAAAGACTTTGGTGTCTCGGATAATCCACATAAATTATATAATAAACCTGTACCATCAGGTAATGGAAAGAAGATTGTACCCTAAATCAGAGGAAAAAAGTAAAACAAGTTTAGGTTATGAAAAAATTGACTGTATAATTTCAATGTAACGTATTCATTCAAAAGTAATTTATTCTGTGGCTTGTATGTTGAACAATGAATATTGTGGTGTTATGTGCGTTAATTGATTTCACCTTAGTCGGTAAACGAGAGACAAGACAAACGGTCCAGTGATACGGTAGGCTACTCTAATCCGAGCGTGTCAAGGCTCCACTAAGTAGATGAAGAAAGATTGATATGGCGTAGAAAGTGTATTCTACAAGCACCCAGAAAATTTGAGAATGACAAGCACACAAATCGAGTTTATTTATACATGATAGACACGTCCTTGGGAGAGCCACAAAAATAGAGTACTAAAATAATACAACAACCAATAACAGTCAAGGATTTTCCTGGTGGGAAATGTAATCTCAAGGTCAACTGATCCGCCCATGAATAAAATCCTAAATTAGGACATTCATCAAGTGAGTTCTGGCGACTTAACATCCCCAACAATCAGTTCGCTCTATTCTACCATACAAATGTGAAATATGGCCACTTTCAATAGAGGATATTCGTAGGTTGCTAGTATTCGATTATAGGTGTCTCTGAAGCATTTCTCATATACTCTGGGAAACTCGAGTAAGCAGTGGTGTTGTTAGGAAGCAAGTACTATGTAAGTGAATCTTCATCAGCTGAGGTGGTTGTAACATGTGTTACGTATGCCTAACCACCGATGAGTTATACTTCGTGGTGTAGGAGTAGACTGAAAGACTGAAACATGCCACAAACCCATCAAGTCACTGACAAGTGGATTGAGCCATGTTACAGATGTGGAATACCTGGTGGGGTTCGTGTATTAATCGTCACCGGTCGTAAGGGACTGTGAACGACATGGATCAAAATCGTTTTCAATGTTGCAGATGTATCCATTATTTGTCTTCGCTCAAATTCTAATCTTCTAAATCCCGCATGACCTTTCTCCTTGTTTTAAATTTATTTCACTGGATTATACTTCTGAAAACATATCTTCAAATCGTAATCTCTTCTAATACCAATTAGACTTTTATTAGCTTTACTACTTAAGGATTTGAATTGACAATTCGATCTCTATGTGCTAATGTGGTATGGCAACTTGAACTGATGTACGTACGTACGTACGTACGAACAAAGGTTTGCATTATAGTTGAGTGATTGATTTATAAGTCTGATTTATTAAATGACGATTTGTTTGGGGAAGCAGCCGTAAAGATACTGGACTATTGACGCCGACCCTATGTGGTTGTCCCGGACACTGTGCATCTTGCTGTAGTGTGTCAACTGGCGTCGCAGCCCCTTGAACAAGGGTCTCTAGTTGGGTTATGAGATCCTGTGCTGAAAGTTTACTTGATAGAAAATGATGCCTGCCCACTGATGTAGTGGGATTAACCCTGCTTGGCTGATTGATTGCGCTTGGTCGAGTTCATGACATCTACCCCATAGGAGGGTGTACGTTCTGGATGGCCTTGTGTGACAAACTCGATCTTTTGCTTTATTTGGGGTCTTGAGGGCTCCCGCCGATTGTATCATTGCAGGGCAGTTGGAGGCCAAATGATGGGAACGGCTGCTAGTTGGTGCACTTCTGAGTGGCTCGGTAAACCGTCGCGGGGCGCCAGGACTAGCTGAGGAAGCCCGCCTTGCCACCCATGCCGACTGGGGAATGTGGGTAATGGTTTGGTTGGAGGGATCGAATTGATTCATAAGCACGTGCATAGCAGTGATGCTCGTACGCACACTGATTGGATGTCCGACTTGCTTGCAGGAGAATCTAGTTTACATGTATATACCCTTTTGAACAAAGGAAATCCCGTGATGGTAAACATGTGAAACGTTGTGATGTGTAAAAAGCAACATGTGTGTTTGTGCTGCAGGCAGGTTGGTTAACCGCCAACTTAAGTGACTGACTGATAATTCTGATTCATTTAATAAATGGACATCATTTTCAACAAATGAAATAATCTTCAAAAACTTAAATAACAGTAGATAAGGTTTCAAAATATGATAATTCAATTTATAGCTGTCAAAACTTATGGAATCATATTATCGATCCTTGGTCTTTTTTATTACAGCTAACACTACTACAATATTTACACTTATTACGAAGGAGCTTATAAGTAGGATTCAGCAAATGCGTAGCAGAGTGTCTCATTGTGAAAGGATGACCAAAAAGTAAAGTGTCGGATAGGGATTTATGGCGCGATTTGAATGTTTTGAAGAATAGAAGACATGTAGAATAACACAGCCAGGGATACGCTTGTTTTCAAAATGGATGTCTTATAATAAGGTGTATACTTTTTGCCTAGTAATAAAACTAGGACAAGTACCTTGTAATGTGGACTGACGAATCCATCTCTTTTTGCTAATATGTAATGAAGACGTCAACTCATGTAGAAAAGTACTCTGTTCTACGTTGACTGACTGAAAACTATCATTCATTATAGAGTTATGGAGATTGGTAAGTTTCATTAAAAAATCATAAACCGATTAATGTCAGACCACGATTAGACACCTGGAAGCACTATAGGGCCGCTTCTTCCCAGTTATGAGACTGATCAGCAGTGCGCTTTCACTAACTCCGCTGGCGGGAATCGGACCTAGGACCTCTAGGCTAACGTGTGAACTTTCGAATTCCAGACCACTGAGCCGGCATCCAACGGTGTCAATATCTAACTTCGACCGATCTCACCCATTGTCTTCGGTAGTTACTGTATGTTAATACCAAAATGATATAGATGCAAAGCTTATATAATTGCTTGGATTTAGTCGCATAGGAAATTTCCAATCATGTTTGTTTGCTTGCTGATATGTTGTATATGAATTCCATTTTATTAGAAAAAAAGACCTATTCTACTGGGCAAGCTGTCTTATCCTCTGATATCATTCAGTTAGTGGCTGATATCACTGACTCAGTCCTGTGATTAGTTATAACCCAGTTATATTGTATTGAGATGGTGGGGAAGATTTCTTGCTCAGGTGGATGATTGTGGTGGAGCTTCGTTCTGTGAGCTGGATGTTGTGGTTATCGATCTTTGATTGTTCTTCCTCTGAACAACATCATCAGCACAAACGTCCTCTTCAGATTCGTCTGTGTGAACATCAAGTAGCAGTCGAACGCCATGACATTTCTGTAGAATCTATTTTGAAGGCTTTGTTTTTGGAAAATCCCTCCATGTATATATATTTGTGTTATGATATGACTGACTCTTCTGTTCGATATTTTGGTACTTTATTTGATTCCATTTGAGAATTTATCATTTGTATATTGGTACTATTTTTATATCTTGTACTTATATTGAAGTTTCCATGTTTCCTTAAGAACTATATATGTGTTGTTTAAAATTGATATTTAATATGGCTACAGCCATATTTGGATTTGATACTCTAGCAGTAACTGACTGGAGGCACTTATTCTTCCAGTAGCGGAACCTATTGTGGTGATTAGAAAATCGAAGGTGTAATATTGTTTTGGTAATTATCTGAATTCCCTTTTTTGATTAAATACAGAACCGTTCTCTCTCAGAATTATCGTTTTTGGACTTGGACTGGGCGGGACGTGTGTGAACCTACACCTTTCGGGTTCAGAGCGTACTGCGAGAGTAATATAATTACTCAATAATTTCTCCTTGTTATATGCAATGCATAAGGACAACTATGAACACACATTTGATTGGAACAATATTTAAATACTGGATAGGAGGAGTACAGAGAACAGTAGAGAATTTTTAGAAGCCTGGAACCCAAGTCAATCAGCAGTCAACAAATTCATAGACGCTGACCCAATCTATCAACCAGTCAGAAAAACCATGGGCAAACACAGGATCAAGAAACAGATCAAAGGGGGATTAATCAAAATAAATGTGCAGACAACGACAGTTTTGAGGTCAATAACAACCGGTCAGGATCCAGGTCAACATGACAAGCAACGAGTCATACATGAAGAAATTCGAATAATTCACTTCTATCTGAAGTTTGTGCTGATGATGTCGTAGGTCAGAAGAACAATAAATGCTCCACAACGAAACCGTTCAGCTCAGAGAACGAAACTCCATCACAATCATTAAAGTGAGCTACAAATGTTCGCCAACATCTCTCATTTCAGTTTAGGAGCTTACATCAATGATTCAGTTTTGTGATTGGTCATTATGCTCAGCTATGCCGTATCATTGTACATCATCACTAATCAACAATAAACATGTCCCCCTTCATTTTTAACACTCAAGAATATAATTATCTCGACATCAACACTCATTAAACTCTACTTTAACATATGAAATAAACAGCCATTAAGATGGAACACTTATAAAGACAGTCAATACCATGAACAGATTTTAGCTCGATTATCATGAATATGATATTGAGAAAGAAGTAGTTAGTTATTCCATCTTAGAACGCAGTATCTTTGCAACACTCACTCAAGAATTCACCAACGATCAAATTAGAGAACTTCATTCCGAGTACGCGGTGAGTGCTTAATCAATAAACTAATGAGTTGAAATCTACTGGTACACATTTCTTGCTATTAAAGAGTTGCCCCATGCTATAAAACATAAAACAATTACCAATCAATCATTGTTAGACCACCATTAGAAACCTGGAAGCACTGGACGGTCGTTTCGTCCTGGTATGTGACTCATCAGCAAGGCGCATCCACGAATCCTGCACCTCGCAGGATTCTAACCCGGGATCTTCGGTATTGTGCGCGAACGCCTAACAATCGATAGTTACTGTCTACATCCGACAGGGTGGTGTAAAAACACAAACCTCCAAAACTCTGCCCTAAAATAGATCAGTTACCTCATATTTTGGGGCAGAGTTTTGGAGGTTTGCGATTTTTTACACATTTGAAATCATTAATCAATCATTGTTATCTTATACTCCTCCTTAACTTATAACGCCATTTTGTTTAACTTGATCAATGTTCAAGCACTGAATCATGAATAATACAAAAAAAATTCAATTTCTCACTTTATGTTTCATTCCATCCAAGGTCATGGTTAATGGTTTATAAGTTAATTCATACACTCCTGTTTGTTGTGGTGCAATATCGATTATCTTTGGTCCATACCATTGTTCACCGTCAATAATTGGTTTAATTTGCCAATTAGCATTTGTACGATTAATAATTTGTAAATTTTTCACATCTTTCTGTCGAACTATCGTTGAAAATTGTTGAATTTCTTTGATTACAGTCGGTGGTACACATGCTGCACTGATAGTAATGAATTTCGATCCGATACCTTGAATGTGACATGTTACATTCTGTTTGTTTAAGAAAGAAAAAAATTTGGAAAATACTTTATTATATACAAAGTATCAATATATCAAAAGTTTGCCTCAACTATTTATGTGAACAAAATATTTTAAAAATCGAGATATATAGCTAGTTTTAAACAGTGAAATCATGAATCAATCATTAGTAAACCACCATTAGAAATGTGGAAGCAATGGACAGTCGTTTCATCTTGGTATGAGACTCATCAGCGGCAGTGCGCATCCACAACTCCTGCTACTCAAAGGATTCGAGCAGAGGACCTACGATCTGGCGAGCGCATACTAAACTTCCGAACCAATGAGCCGGCAGGTATCCAACGGTGGTAATCTAAGGATTTTGCACAATCTCACCCACTGTCTTCAGTAGTTATTACCTAGTCTCAACAAGATTGAAATACAGTGGTCACGTCTTTTTCACTAGAACTCTGGGAATTATTTCCTCACGAAGCTTATCACTAATGAGTATACTTTTTGATTTTAATCAGTGCTTCCAGGTTTCTAATGGTGGTCTAACAATGATTCATTCATGATTTCATCGTGTAAAATACAATGATCTGCATAATACTATGATACAAAATGTAGAAGTTTGCTTCAGAACCGATGACCTATATCTAGTGAATGATTGACTGAAGGCTATCTATTGATCAATTAACAATAACGAGTACCTCGTTATCTGATACATAGTGATGATCGAAGTCTTTTAAACAAATTAGGATACAATTTTAGTAGGCTAAGTGAATTCACATCATGAAAAACTTTATTTCGCGTTGAATAGTTCGAAGTATTATTGACTGAAGTAGATATTAAGGTTACGGCATAAATTGATGCTTACTTACTTACTTAAGCCTGTTGCCCATAATGAAACGTAGGTCGCCGACCAACATTCTCCAGTCAACTCTGTCTTCTTCCTTCCAATCGCTATTCATCATTCTCTTCATATCTGCTTATGATTCTCAGCTTAATGTGTTCTTTGGTCTAATTACTTTTTATTTGGCCTTTAGGATTCCAAGTTAAGGCTTGAATTGTCATGTTGTCGGGTGATTTTCACATTGTGTGTGCTATACACCCTCAATTCCTTTTCTTAATTCCTTCATCTGATGAAATCTGGTTTGTTTTATCGCACAGAAGTTGTTCCTGGTGATTTCTGGTCAACGTACCCGGAGTATTTTGCATAGACAACTGTTCATAAACACTTGTATCTTGTAGTTGATAACTTTCGTAGTTCCTCATACGACAGACCTGTCGCGACATTTGTATTGAGGATTGTGCCTTCAGTGTTAGTTGACAGTCCTTCACAGTTCTAGATGTTCTTCAATTGTTAGAAATGTTGCCCTTGCTTTGCTAATACATGTCTTTACATCTTCATTGGATCCACTTTGTCTGTCGATGATGCTGCCCAAGGTGATCACGCATAATGTAATAACTCATTTAGAACATTCTCTACTGTACAACAGTTAATTGATTTGATTTATACTGTTATTCCATTTTAAACAAGCATACAAAATGTTCAATAACACATATACTGATGCATATATTTGACATTGAAATCATCAGTCAATCATTGTTAGACCACCACCATTAAAAACGTGGAAGCACTGAGTTTCGTCCTGGTATGGGACTTATCAGTTGCATTGCGCATCCACGACTCCTGCACCTAGCAGGATTCGAACCCAGGACCTTGGGCCTTGTGCATTTGTTTGACAGTTAAAATAAAGTGTATCACATCTGTCACAACATTGTATCAGCTCCTCATTCTCAATCTAAATGAACTCTGTATACTTTATCATGAATACTGTAATTATCAAGTGATATTATAAAAAAATCTAATCTAATCTTTCTAATATGCATATTACACTATAAATAAATCAGTAAATTCAATTTACTTACATTCATACGTAGATCACGTGTTAATTTATCTGGTTTTAAAGTTAAAACAAATGGTACTTCTAATCCTGCACCGATAGATCCATTCATTGGTTCAATAGTTAATTCCGATGTGAACGTTGATGCATCCCATTCGAATCTTAAAAATGGAGAAGAATGCATTATGGATGGGATTGTGAAGATTGTTGAGTTACTTTTTACAAATTATGAGTTGATCATTGTGAGATCACTGGAAAGCCGTTTCGTCCTGGTATGCGATTCATCATCAGTATGCATTCATGACTCTTGCAACTCACAGGATTCGAACACAGGACCTTTGGTCTTGCGCACGAACGCACAACCTCTGAACCACTGAGCTGCAACGGCCGCCCGGTGCTTCCAGGTGTCTAATGAAGGTCTAACACTGATAGATTCCTGATTTCAAAAAATTATTAAATCGTTATATTTATCTATTTGTTGGGGATGTTAGATCCCCAGAAATCGCCTGATAAATATCTCTATTTTGGATTTATTTCATGGACCGATCGGTTGACCTTGAGATCACATTTCCCGCCAGGAAAATCCTTGGCTGTGATTGGTTGCTATGTCATTTAAGTGTTCTATTTTTGTAACTGTACCAAGGACGTCTCTATAGAGTATAAATAAACGAGATTTGTGTGCTCTGATGTATTGTGTACTGGCTTGGTGTTTGTAGAATACACTTTCTACACTATATCAAGACTTCTTGTTGATTCAATTTGGTCAAGGGATCACAGTAGCCTACCTGGACGCTGGTTCATTGTTTTTTTCTGGTTATTCGACTAAGGTGAACTCCTAATAGTTTAAGCATAATACCTAGAGACGAGCGTAACATTATTGTCATTTATTTTTCTATAATACAAGTTTATTAATTCAATTTTAAGTGTAAATCTAGTTGTATAACGAATTTTCATTACAAATTTCAAGACTTCTACTGTATGCAGCGCAATTTTGAAAAATCACGAAAGCCACCATCCACAAGATACAAGTGCTTAGAAATAGTTGTCTGTGCAAGATACTTCGAATGTGCTGACTAGACACCATCATCAACAACCTACATTAGGATAGAACAATCTAGATTTCGTCTGAGTAACAAATTAAGAAAAGGTGTTGGATGTGGATAGGACACATTGAGGAAGTCACCCATCTGAGTCACAAGCCAAGCAGACAGACAGACAGACACAACGCAGAACTTCGTACGGAAGTACATCAGCTGAGGTCGCCATTTCATATCAGCACACAGACGCAACTGTCAGTTCAAATCCAAGAGTGATAGCGATAGTATAAGTATTAGCAGTAATGGAGAAGATTAGGGAAAGAAGAAATGATTCGAAAAGTATAATTCAGTGAGATAAATTTAGAAAGAGAAAGATAGAGATTATGAGGAATTCAGAAGGTTAGAATTTGAGAGAACACAACAGTGGATGTACTTGCGCCACTGTAAACGATTTTGAGCCTTTTCGTTCAAGGTGTCTAACCGTTGGTGACTTTCATCTCGCGGACCCCAACCAGGTAGCCTACATCTATCAATGTGACGCAGTCCACCTGTCCGTAATTTCATGGATTTCTATCATGTTTAGTTCTGGCCCCCCTAGCTTTCTTCCAATCTACTCCTACACCACAAAACATAGCTCGACGAGGCAGTCGGTGGTTAGGCATACGTAAAACATGTCCCAACCACCTCAACTGATGAAGTTTCACTACTTCATCTATTGATCTGCCATCATTACCTAGAACTCGTTTACTGACGACAGCATTGCTTATACAGTTGTCCCAGGATACACGAACAATGCTTCGGAGACACCTATGATCGAAAACCAGTAACTCACGAATATCCTCTACTCTTAACGGCCATGTTTCACAGCCATAAAGTAGCCAAGCCCTTAATTTGGAACCCTCAAGGTCAAGGAAAAGGGGAAGACCAAAGAACACATCTATCCAGGAATCAGAAGCAGACATCAGAAGAATGAACAGTAATTTGACACAACTGGAAAGAAAGGCCTAGAACAGAGTAGGTTGAGACTGATGTTTGGTGGCCTATGCTCCATTTGGAGTAACAGGCATAAGTAAATAAGTAATCTGCTTCTCATACTGAAGTAATACAAGCAATATTAGACCTTAAGGTCTAGTATTTAAAAGTTGCATCCCTTAATCATTAGATAACTAACTTCTTATACAATCAATTGTCAATTTATCACTTTCGTTGAGTCGAAACACATGATTTGAATGTTTTTGCACCTACTAACGACCATTATGTGATTTTCATGTTTTCAAATACAAACCAATTCAATTGTTCAAAATGTTTACAGACAACAATACAAAGTATATTCATGAATTTTCATTATATAACCGTGTAAAAGAAAAGAGTTCTGTTTTCTATGATTGCAAAAAATGCAACTGATTAAAACTTTCTACATTAATAAACTAATTAAATTTTCTAACCATCCTTTGTTCATGAATAACTAATTAACTTCAAGATGGATAACTCAACATCAAGATTGAATAAGTGTTAAGTTCGTCATTAGGTACGCTTGAAGCTATTACGAGTTCACATTAGGCAATAAACGTGAACGAGACAATGGACCAGTGTCCAGGTAGGCTACCTTGATCCCCAAACTGCAAAAGAGAAGTCTTGATAAGCGTAGAAAGTATATTCTACAACACCCAGCAAGCACAATGCAACCAAGCACACAACTCTCGTTTATTTATACATCATAGAAATGCCCTTGGGACAGTTACGAAAATAGCACACTAAAATACACAGCAGCCAATCATAACCATGGATTTTCGTGGTGGGAAATGAAATCTCAATGTCAGCTGATCAGCCCATGGTCGGAGATGTGAAATCCAAGATAAAGCATTTATCAAGCCAGTTCTGGCGATCTAACATCCCCAACAATAAGTGACTAACTGATAACATTAAATAACTAATTCATTATAGTTTTAACACAACAATATGATATCATGATGTCCTTTATATAACCTGAGGATGATAGCTTTGCTTCTAATTACAATGTCCCAAAATGTGAAGTTTCATTGATAAAGTTTAGATAACTGTTCAGTTAGCAAGAACATAGAACTTGGTACATAGGCATATCAGTTCAAGTTGACACAGCATACAACTACACCGAGAAATGAAATCGTCAATTCAAATTCCATAGTAGTGGAGGTAATAGAACTATTAGCGATGATCAAAAGTATTAGGGATCGAAGATATCATTCGAGAAGCATCCCGATCCAGTGAAATAAATATGAGAATAGGATGATGAAGGTCATGAGGAATTAAGATTAGAGAATTCGGGAGAAGATAATGAGTACATGTACCTGTGCCATTCAAGGTCTGCACCCATAGATTACTATCATCTCGCAGATCCCAACCAGGTAGTGTACATCTACCAACATGGCTCAATTCACTTGTCAGTGACTTCATGAAATTATTTGTTCTATGTTTTAGTTTGGCCTCCACTAGCTTTCCTCCAGCCTACTATACCCCCAGAGCAATGTTTTGTGGTGTAG